AGCGGTCAGTGTGCGGGTGGGTGACCACATTGATCAGCCTGAGTAGGGACCGAGGGTGTGCGGTATTGATATCCTCGTTAAACTTTTCTACCGTAAAGTGTTCGACTTCGCGAGCAGGTAGTCAGGCTATCAAAGCAGAGGACCCCTCTGCAGAAGATCAAAATGCCGATGGCATGTCTTCGGATCATCCTCAGGGACCGTCGCCAATAGCCCATTGTGCAGCTCCAGTGCGACGTAAATGAATTACAACAACAACCTAAAAATAGCCAGATTTAATCTAGATCTGGATGGTTGACTGAATCTAAACAATAACAAGTTTCCTGTATCTCTCCGTTTATTATATGCTTACGAGGCGATGTGTGAACAGCCTTAATGTTCTAGGAAGTTTTATTATTGCGATTTGAGTTTAAATTTACGCGTAATTTTAGAATTTATGAGGGTATTATGTAAGAGAGAGAGAGAGAGACCCTATCGACTCTTGAGATCTTTCTGTTGTCACTGGCAAAAACGCGTTTGACCATAGGTCAAAATTGCGTGATTCTACCATGGCAGTTAAGAGACAGATCCCTAAAAAACGTGGTTAGGTACTTGGCCAAACTAAGTGCAAATAAACGCCCGACTGGAAAGAGTAAGAAATGAGTATGAGGAAATTAGTATTATATAGAATGATTTAATTGTAACGGTAAATGGTTTTCAGTTTTATGCGTGATGCGAAGTATTAATTAATATGGATTTATTAATTCATGGTTCTTCTTTACCTAATAAGAAAAGTAGATATTCAGGGGACGCTACCCGCCGTGAAGCGCACTATTTTTGTTTCCATAGCAGCAGGCGACCTCAGTCTTCGTGGCGGGGGGGAGTTCTTGCCGTAGACAAACTATACATTACAGATGCATAGAAAATAATATTTCTGATTAAGTTGTTTAGTTTGAATGTATTTCTTACTTTTTTTAGGAAAAATGCCGAGACATGCTGAAACCTTGGATTGGAGTAACAATTATAGTAACAGTTACTGATATTGCTGCTACAATATTTTACATATTCAAAGCTGTTGTGAGTATCGATATTCATTCCATAATGAATTTCTAACGTTTTTCATTTGCGTTCGATTTTTTTAAAACTATATTTTGTTATTGCGAAAATTGTATTAAAGGATAAATCACCTGCAAACATAGTAACACTCTTACGAAAGAACATTCCAAATTGTTTTGGGGAACTTTCTTCTTGGAAAAGTCCTTTGCTTAACTATACGGGAAATCAGGTATCAAAGGGTAATATCAAAGAATTATAAAAAAAGAAAATTAAAAATTTAAGTTGCCAAGCAACGCAGACAACATTGAAAAAATTACTCTGAACAAAATAAGGTTTACCCTTAACGCTGCGAAGTTTTCCCTTAACATAGAATCTATATAGCTTTAAAGAAATCACGCAACATGCAAAATATCAGTTCAACAGAATCTCGTATGTTTAAAATATCGTTCAGAATCTCATACGGACAAATAGAATCTCAAATAGACCATGTCGTCGATACGTAATATCATATGGGAAAAATATCTTTCAGACAGAGTCTTACACGATGAATCATCGTTTAGACAGCATTTCATGGGAACAAAACATCGTTCAGAGAAAATCTCTTACAGGCAAAATATCATTAATAGTTCGAACAGAATCTCATTTGAACAAAATATCAACAGCAAGTAATGCCAGTACTAGTATCTTTCAGTCGTAAACAGAAATATGTAGTATTAAAATACAAAATGTCACAATTAGTTCAAGTTTCGCAGGTTAAGGATTTTTCGAAAATACCAAAATGCTGTAATTTACGAGTAATTAGGTCCCGCAGTGGAATGATCGTTAAGACACGGTTCCCAGCAGATCACCGAAGTCAAGCATCACTGGCTACGGTCAGTGTGCGGGTGGGTGACCACTTGGATCAGTCTGCGTAGGGACTGAGGGTGTGCGGTATTGGTCCTCGTTAAACTTTTCTACCGTAAAGTGCTCAACTTCGCGTGCAGGTTGTCGGGCTACCGAAGCGGGGGTGCCATCCCCTCTGCAGAGGATCAAAATTGTGATGGCATGTCTTCGGATCATCCTGAGGGGTTTTTCCCAGACTGTCGCCAATAGCCCATCGTGCAGCTCTAGTGCGACGTACATTAAGTCCAACAACTACAACAGCGAATAATTAGAGTTCATAAAAAAAATTTTAAAAAAAACTAGACAAATTTATATATTGAAAGAGGAGTTTGACCGTACCTTAAAAAATAAGTATTTTTCTTGAATAACTTGAAACGGTAACAAAAATAAATCGTTTATGGATGATTCAATGAATGTAAACAATAATAATCTTTTTAAAACTGGAAGAAATTTAGAGAACTTCCCGTGTATCTCTCCGCTTACGAGGCAACGTGTGAACAGGCTTAATATTCCAGGAAATTTTATTGTGATTTGAGTTTAAATTTGCGTTAATTTTACGATTCATAAGACTTTTCTGAAATGTATAAATTTCCATTGTTTTTAGCAATTATTTCTGAAGATTTTTGTTTTGTTTGTTTCTTTTAGAAAGACGATGAAATAGATGATGTTGGTACAGCTTTTTTCACACACATTCATGTTTTTTACGCATTCATGTTTTCTAGGGGAGGACCCATATTATGGATCATCAATGTAAGTAATATTAAGAAAAATTTTGATCGCAGTATTTTCTTGATCATCAAAGAACAGTTTAAAGTTGAAAAATATTGTTGTAAGGGAAAGCGGGGTAAGACCGGGTAGCTGAAATTCGAAGATCTGTTGGAGCTTGGAGCTAAACTGTTCCACCTAAAAATAGTCGCCCCGCAGTGGACTGATCTTTAAAACACGGTTCCCATCAGATCACCGAAGTCAAGCATCACTGGCTGCGATCAGTGTGCTGGTGGGTGATCCATTGGATTAGTCTGCGTAGGGATCGAGGGTGTGCGGTATTAGTCCTCGTTAAACTGTTCTATCTTAATGTGCTCGACTTCGCGTGCAGATCGTCGGGATACCGAAGCGGGGTGCTATCCCCTCTGCAGAGGATCGAAATTGTGATGGTGTGTCTTCGGATCATCCTCAGGGACCGTCGCCAATAGCCCATTGTGCAGCTCCAGTGTGACGTAAATGAATTACAACAACAACCTAAAAATAGCCAGATTTAATCTAGATCTGGATGGTTGACTGAATCTAAACAATAACAAGTTTCCTGTATCTCTCCGTTTATTATATGCTTACGAGGCGATGTGTGAACAGCCTTAATGTTCTAGGAAGTTTTATTATTGCGATTTGAGTTTAAATTTACGCGTAATTTTAGAATTTATGAGGGTATTATGTAATTTATAAATTCTAACAGGTCGTGAACCTAAAACAAATTTAACACAATTACTATTACAGCATAAAGTGTAAGGTTAACTATGTTTTGAGTGTTATCCTTTATTTGGCTTCATTTGTGTAAAATAGTAATGTTTGGGAAGAGTCATAGCAAGCTTGCGAAGTCTTAGGAATTTATTTGTTGTTTGATTCGTTGGAAACTATATTGAAAGAACGCGTTACATTGATAACACTACAAGTATAATAATATTAGATGGTGCGTTTTTTCAAGCTTAGTCATAGAAATCAGTCGGAAGTAATAGACATTTTTCGACAAATTTTAGCTCCTACTGCCACTTGTGCTTAGCTTTATACAGTCAACCATCTATTCCTTGTAAATATATCATTCCTAAGAAGTTGTATAAGACTTCTCTTGTAAATTATTTTACTTTAAAAGAAAAAGTCAAATCTCCCCCGGTCTAAGACCCGGTACACATGTTAACTTTATAGGAAATTTAGAAATGTTTGAATTTCAATGAAAAAGTAGCAGATATTTCTATTTTATAATGCAATTTAAGAAAACTATGAATGTAATTTAAATGTGATATAGGCAAGTGCGTTTTCAAGGTGTGTGGGCGATAGGGAAAATCGGACTATCTAGGTTGTTTTTTTCCTTCAGAGGAAAATTTATATCTTTTTTTAAAAGAAAAAATTCGTATTATACTCACTCAAAATTTTTTTTCTTCAAAATTTATAGATCGAAATAGGGATATGTTTTGTTTTCCAGTTGGTTCATGTATGTGAATTCCCCGTTTTAATTACCCTCCACCATGGTAGATGGCGCTGTAAGCGTAAATTTAATTAATTGCGAGTACGATTAACTGCTGAAGGAGTATGTGTGTAACAGACTAACGAGAGAGTCTGAAATACTGAGAATAAATAAATAAATTTAAATGAATCAACAGTCCAATTATTGTGAGCTCTGAGCTCCTTCAGCACTCAGTGGTGCAATTAATTAAATATACGCTTACAGCGCCATCTACTATGTTGAAAGGGAATTAAAAATCCTCACGATTAAAATAGTAAATTTCAATAAATTTTACGCAAATAGCAATATAATGTTACAGAGAAAATATGTATATAAAATGTACAAAATGATCAGACATTGTGATATAAAATTATACCTAATTTACTATTTATACAATAACTTTATGGGAAGAATACAGTAGTTTGCCATTAGGTAAATTTACTCTTACAGCTGGGATGGGAATTAGCACACCGCTCCGTGGTTCCACAACTACATTGTCCCTCATCTGTATCAACTCAACGGGCTTGACATTGGTTGAGCCCACGACAGCTCGGCATTACTCTGAATGTCTGAATCTTTGACGGCAAATCAGCAGCCAGTTTAGCGCACTACAAGTAGTGAAACTACTGTAGTCGCTATTCTTTTTCGTAGTTTGTAGTGTAGTAAGCTACTTTAAAAAAAAAAATAGTGTAGTGAGTAGTGCGATGCAAAAAAAGTAGTTTGTAACGAATCCTGGGAACTACTTTCAACAATAGTTTAGTAAAGAAACACGGTTTCTAACGCTACTAATTTTTCGAATTTGATGAGTACAAATTTACGCTGGTCCGTCAATGAATGCAATGAAAATGACCCTATGGCTGCAGCTGAGCGTTAACAGGAATTACGTATTTAGAATTGAGTATAACTAATATTTAAACTAGCCATTATGGATGAATAGATAATTAATCACTCTCACACGCGAATGTACACTCGGGAAGCATTGATGTTATTTAAAAGGAAGGGAGCGCTATTTCGATGTACTTAATATTTTAGAGGTAATGAAACATCATTAAACAATTAAAAAATTTCAAGTGTTAAAAAATTTCGCATCTCTGAAATTAAATATTTGCTCGGAAAAATCAGAAAAAGATCAAATGAAAGAATTCGAAAAAAAAAATTTTGGAATAATAAACTGGCTCTTATAAACATGAAGAAATATTTCTTAATTATTCCTTTATAATTAATATAAATTCATCTCCTTAAAGTAGTGAAGTAGTTACTGCAATTCCAAAGTAGTTTGTAGTCACTACATTTCAAAAAAAGGAGTTGTAGTTAAGTACATTTGTATTAAAGTCGTTGTAGTTGTTGTAAACTTTGCAAAAATAATGCAGTTTTCCCGACCACAGCCGAATACACAAATTCACTGCTTCGCAGTTCCACACAGTCCATCACCTGCACGAATTTTAATAACAAAAGAACCAGAATCGGCTTTGCTGCGCTAAGCACTTGGTGGAAATGGATTATTCAGAATTACTACCAATCAGGATGATTACTCTTAATTACTCCGATAGTTACAAAATATCCCAATGAAACTTTTTTAGTTTTTCCTTATAATCCGATAGGGAAAATTGTAACTTCTTTCGTTTCAAAACTTAGCTATGTGCTACATTATTATTATTTGTTTAGCTATGTGCTATTAATCATTTCTGACAGTTTCGGTAATTACCTAATTTCGATACACTCCAAAAAAAAGGTATTCAAATTGAAGTATAAAACGCAGTGAAACCACTTTCCGTTCCACAGTAAAATGGTCGATCTTAGAGGTTACCTCCATTGACTTCAAAATTGCTATCGAAGGTACAGGATTTTTAGCACACGATTTTAATTTTAGTAAGTGTCATTTCCTTGGTGCTGAAATCCCACTTCTGTTGGAGTCATGAAAAGTACGTGTCGATGAATAAAATTTAGCGTCTATAGAAATAATCCTAACTCATTAATTATGTGTAAAGACCAATTTACCAATAATAAATGATAAAGCCATTTTAAATAAATAAATAATTATGTTTTTTGTTTAAGTTTGCATTTGGTTTTATATCATACAAATTATTTGAAAGATGAGAAGAGGTTTGTTTGTTTGAAATGCTTGTTTTTTGTTTGAGATGCTCAGTGCTGACGTAAAATATCCCCAATGATAGACGGATCATAAGTTAGAGTCTCCTTGCCATCAGGTTAACCGAGGGAGGGTTTCCTCTCCATGTAACGCAAGTGCGGGTTAGTTCCACCAAAAAGATCTCAACGAATTTCCCCCTAATACTCGATCCAGGAGTTCCCTTGTCTTCTGGAATTAGTTCAAAATTTCAAGGCTACAGAGTTGAACATTAGTAGTCGCAAACCCAAAAAAATTGGGTCGGCTGTTCAATTACGGTTATAAATTATAAATATTTTAAATTGTTTCTAAACATAACTTTTACTTTCTCTGCAGGTGGCTCTGTGTGTATTTGTTGCACAGCGTGTCAAAGAAATAGAGGTTGGAAAAAATAAAAGGCTGGTATGTTTAAATTCATTTTTAATATTTCCATTAACGAACTTTTACCCAGTACTGATTAAAAAGAAGAAAAAAAAATTGCATGTTGCCTACAAATTCATATAATCTCGTGAAAAATATTTTTTTTCGGGAATTCATGTTTAAACTATTTTAAAGAAACATATTTTCTATAACATAACTCTATATTTTACATAACTTGCGATTAGCTATTGCAACTGTACTTATTCTCTAATAGTTACATATATAAACCATATCGTCGTCTTACGCGTAAAAACTCAAAATGTCAGAGTTATAACATCATGAAATTCTAATATAATTAAGTCTCTATATAATTACATCTTTATGCAATTCAAAATGACATAAACATACATTTATGCAATTCAATATAGCATTAACTACGAGTTCTTGTAATTATATGGCAAAGAGTTATTCTTGTAATGGATGGTTGTTCGAATGTAAACAATAACTGAATGTAAGCTTCTTAATACCGGAAGAAGAAAAACACTTCCGGTGTGCTTCTCCGCTTATGTTATGCTTACGAGACGATAATTTGAGATCCCTCCTTTGACTTGTTGTTTAACAAGGATTCTAAAAACGTGTATTAAGGGCAGGGATCATAAAACACCATGGTATAACATTATATATCTTTTAATTCAGGGACGAAACTATTAATAATCAGAAATGTTTATTTTAGGTAAGTATGATGTTATTACAAAACGATTACTCTATTAATAGTCGAACAATTTATTCTCATAATGATAACTCCATTAATAGCCGGAAACGTTTATTTTTTTTAAAAATATGATGTGCTGTTAAAAGTGAACCCATTAAAACAAAAATTGCTAAAAAAATGATATTATAATAAAATAATCTGCACTATTATTGAAAACATATGAAATCTGAGAGCCGGAGGGCCGAATAGACTGGTTGGTAGGGCACTGGGCTCATGTACAAGAGGTTGTGGGTTCAATCCCTAAATGGTGACTGATGCACGCTAAATCCGTCGGTTCACAAAGTCCTTCATGATCCCATAACAAATCATACCTCTAGGGGTACTGATCCAGGAGTTTTCCTTGACTTCTGGATTGAGTTGAAAATTACAAGGCTACGGAGTTGAACATCAGTAGTCGTAAACTTAAAACTGGGTCGGCTACTCAACGAATATAAAATAAAATATGCAGGCCGGAACTGCATAGCAGAAGGGTTCTTGAAAGTAACTTCTATTCTGGTACGGTGTTTGGTAGAAGCGGAAGACTATAATTTGTCTACAAAGCATAGTCCACTTTTCAGATAAGAACAATGACCGGCCCACTGCATGTGCTGTGAATATCTCCGCTTTCAAAAAAATCGTCGATCAAGATCAAATGGTGACAAGACGTGTGATATCCATGAATATGAATATAGCAAAGATCTGACACCTGAAAACAGAAAAGCCTCAAGAACTTTGTACTTGCTAACATCATGATTTCCTTTGAAGAAAAAAGATGTCATTCCGTGATGTTTCTTGGGTGGAAACCACTCCCACGCCTTCTCAATATCATCATCAGACCAGAATCTGTGCTCAGAGCTCGTCGCATTGAATTATTGTTGCAAACTCCATTGTTGATGTTTGATGTGAGAGGAATGCAAGCAGCTGGTCGGCTGACAGACAAGCATCATTGAGTCTCCTATAGGCAGTATGCCTCGAAACTCGTACTCTTGTAATCCCTGAAAAGTGTTCGCTGGTGCAAAATGTGGGTCTTGGCTAACCGTTGTCGTTTCACTTTTTTTTTTTACCTTGCCGTCGAATAACATCTCCTGTACTCTGAAACCTCTGCCATAGTTTGCAGACCACTGTATGAGGTAAATTCAGAATTTGAAAGAGTTTGGTTTGAAATCTTCAACATTCTGATGATTCTTCCTTTCCAAAACATGCCCAGTCGGTATTTTCGTGACAATTTTGATCGTTTTACTCACTTTTCCTCACACGTGATCTGCTTGATCCCCCACATGATTTGTGCATTCATACGTCAACTGAAATGTGAGCGGGTGGGTGACCACTTTGATCAGCCTGCATAAGGACCGAGGGTGCGTGCTATCGGTTTTCGTTAACTTGTTCGACCGGAAAGGTGCTTGACTTCGCGCGCAGGTCGACGGGCTACCAAAACAGGCTTCCCCTCTGCAGAGGATCAAAATTGCGATCATCCTCAAGGATATTTCTCAGGCCGTCGCCAATAGCCCATTGTGCAGCTCTAGTGCGACGTTAATAAAGCACCTACCTATCCATCTTAGCATTTGCATACCTTTGTAGCCCCCATGATAACTGCTGTTGAAATTTGGATAATTTTCTTTTTATCACATGCATCAAACCCGGGTGCCGCAGTGGACTGATCGTTAAGACACGGTTCCCAGCAGATCACCGAAGTCAAGCATCACTGGCTACGGTCAGTGTGCGGGTGGGTGACCACTTGGATCAGTCTGCGTAGGGACCGAGGGTGTGCGGTATTGGTCCTCGTTAAACTGTGCTACCGTAAAGTGCTCGACTTCGCGCGCAGGTCGTCGGGCTACCGAAGCGGGGGTGCCATCCCTTCCGCAGAGGATCAAAATTGTGATGGCATGTCTTCGGATCATCCTCCGGGATGTTTCCCAGACCGTCGCCAATAGCCCATTGTGCAGCTCTAGTGCGACGTAAAGTAACAACAACAACAGCATCAAACCCGGAAGGTAAGTTGCTTAAAGTGTAGAAATTAGTTATTCTACAGATTAACTAGAGTGATTGTTTAAGATGCCAAAAAAGTTTTTTTTCATTTCTCAAGGTAATCTGCAAGCTATCTAGATAATCTGCGCTCTTTAAAGTGAAAATAAAATCTTTGTTAGAGGATCAGCAACGTTTTTGATACATATTTCTTACGTATTAACGTCATTTCTCTGGGGGTACTGAATCGGAGATTATATTCGTGGTCTGGTTCAAAATTACGATGGGATGTGTTCTCCCACTAAAACTGATCCTCCTCAGGGATGTTTCCCAGACCGTAGCCAGTGTGCAGATCTATTGCGACGTGTACCAGTACCATTTATTTTTCCTTATCGAAAATAACAAGTAACTACAATCACCGCATTAGTTGTGATTAAGGAAATTAACATAATGTCACTTATTTATTTTTTCGTTATCTAAAGTCAATACAACCACTACATTAATTACTAGAATGAAAATAACAACTTTTAAACTTTAACGATATGGAAATGCGCACATTACCGTAGTAAATTGAGGAAATTTCTTGATTCCACCTAACCTAGTTAATTAACATAGATTAGCTAAACATATTTTATCGAAGGATAGCGGGTTCGAATATCCCCCAAGTCAAAATTTTTGATGGTTTATAATGGTTTCAGTGTTATTCATGATGGTTTGATAGTAACCATCATCCAACATTTTCCTTTATGCGTTCATGATTTTTGATATGCCAACAAACTTTGATCATTCCATGATGGAAAATGCTATTTTAATACTATGATGGTTAACCATCTAGAGAAGTTTGACTCTCATTAACCAACAATCTATGATGATCCGCGATGGTTCATGATGATTGCAACTATACATTTTCATGATGGTTTAATGGGAAAGCATGTTCGTTATCAGTACCATCAAAGCAATTTAGTTTTTTTTTTTTAATGTTGGACCATCATAAATCAGACGAAATTCCTACATTTTTGATGGTGGTTCATGATCGCTCCAACATTTAATTTCTGAGATACTATGATGGAAATTCGTGATGGTTCAACATGAACAAACCATCAAAACAAGTTGCTATTCTTATGTTGGACCATCATAAATCAGTCCGAATTCCAACATTAGGGTAAGGGTTGCTTATGTTGGTTACCATCAAAATATATAATAGTTCATGATGGAATTATTGATGGTTACCATCTAAATTATGTTGGTCCACATCCATCAATGGAAAACCATAAAAATTTTTGACTTGGATATAAATGGCTTTCGAGCCTTAGCGGTGTATAGTTTTTCAATAGGAATTCTCACGATTAAAAACTTTATTTTCCTTCATTGCAGCCATTTGGATCAGATTTTCATATCAATCCTTACTCTCTGAGTCCACCGTATGATGCATTTGAAACTCAGTCGTCCAATCACACATCAAAAACTTTGAGACCGCACACTCCTCCTCCTGACTACGAAGGACCCAACGGTAAGTACGTTTAATAAAATATGATTTTTTTTTACAATTGAATTATTGATATTAAGGACAGATTAAAATTAAATATGTACCCTCAACCTCCAACCACCTTTCTGTATCTTTACTTACATATTATATAGATAATAGACATTCAATGAATAAATTGAGTCTGAAGTATGAGGGAGTAAAATTTATTATATATCGTTTATTATATATATAATAAATTTTATATAAAATTTATTATATATAATCGTCGTTGAACAGCTGACCCATTTTTTTGGGTTCACGACTACTAATGTTCAACTCTGTAACCTTGTAATGTTGGACCCAATCCAGAAGACAAGGGAACTCCTGGATCAAGTATTAGGGGAAATCTGCCTTCATGGAGGACTTTTTGATGGAACTAACCCGCATTAGCATTACATGGAGAGGAAAACCTCCCACCGTTAGCCTGACGGCAAGGGGAATCTAACCTATAATCTGTCTACCACTGAGGACATTTCAAGTCAGCAATTTTGTTGGTGCAAGCCAGATGCGGAATTCATATCAACCAGCTATTGCTGGGATTAGAACCCAGTTCACCTCAAGGCGGACACTCTATCCCCCAAGAAATGATGGCTCATAAAGGAGTAAATTTTATAATATTTTTTAAAAAAAAATTGGACCTAAAAAGTAAATCATGGCCAGCTATTAATTAAACTATACTCACCTTTTTTTAATTTAGTAATTTTCATATGTAATTCATTTTTTAGACTATTATAACACCATTTGTATAAGTATTTGCTAATGAAATAACAACCTCATAATAAAATTAGGTGTCTATGTTACCATGAATGTCCGAAATCAAGAGAATGCTGACAGGTGAATGTCAAGAATCACATAGTCGTTTTGGTGATTGTCCGAAATAGTTGTTATATCTGATTTCATATTAATTTATTGACTGATATTTTAATATCTGCTGTGGATAGATTAGGAGAAACGTCAGCGTTTGGAGTACCGGTTAAATGTATACTGGGCAGAGGCATTTGACTTTAAAAAAATTTTGATGTAGGGCATACTGGGTGTGGTACCAATCCCAGACAAGTCTTGGATGTTCTTTCATTCTCCGTACCTTACTGTGGGAGCAACTAACATGGTGCCCCTGAAAGAGGGGCCAATAAATCTGCCCTTCTGATATCTGAATGACAAGGGTCAATCGGGTGGGCATTGAAAAAAAATAACATCTCAATTGTTGATCTAAATTTAGAACTAACTTTTTCACAAACAGATGGATTTAAATATTCTTTGATTCATTAAAGGGAAGAAAAGGAGGCCTTCCTTATCATCAGAGCCAGAGACAACAACTCTTCCCTTGAGCAGTGCTGGTAGTAAAGGCTCTCTGGCAAGGAGACCACTCAGTCAAAGCAGTTATTTGTATGATGACAGAGTGGAACTACAACATAGAGCCTCTTGTGCAGCAGAGACAGTTCTTCATCATGCCTATGTCAACAAAGGACTCGTTATGGAATCGGAAGGGTGGATGGGTAAATTGACATTTTTTTATACCTTGCTGTGACAGTTAAAACTCAAAGCAATGGTTCAATTTTTAACTGTATATGCACCAGCTTGCAGTAAAGAATTATAAGCACTTAAGAATGAACAAATTGCTTAAATATTTAAAAAGGAATTAACTTTTTAAAAGTTCGCTAACTTGGTAAGATTATTTTATGTACGACCCAAATTAAAATTTTTATCAGTGTTTATCAATTATCCTTTGCCACGAAAAAAAAAAACCCACAGTTTAAAAGCTTCATACCTAGAGCAAAGTTATAATTTTAATATATATATATATATCATCTTGCCATAAAAACTTATAACGCTTTAAAACAGACAAACAGCATAAACAACTTTCTTTTTTTAAAAAAATCCGCTAATTTAATGAGATTTTTTTTTTTACAGATAACACAACAAAGTAATTTTTTAAATATTAAAATGCTGGATCACAAGCACTTTTTCATTTTCACAAAACAGTAGTGTTTAATTATATTGGTGTTTTGCACTCTTTCAGAATTTGCATAAAGGACGCTAAATAAATATTGGCTAAACTTGACCTAACAGTCATGAATAACTATTGCAAACTCACAGTAGTTATGAAAATAGCATATAATTTGCAAATTGAATTTTTAATTTTAATAAATAATGTTTGAAATCAACCGAGAAATAGGTGTAGTTAACATGGAAAAAAACATGTTTTATTTTTAACTTTAAAAAAAACATATTGATGTACCATTATTAACAATTACTCTTTGAGTTCTACAAATCCTGTGCATAAAATAATATAATATTTCAAACATAAGTTTTTGTATGAATAATTAGAATTTGTAATACCCACCAAAATGAAATTGCACTCAGATAATTTGCCAACGATGATAATTGTCACAGATAAAGAAATAAAACTTCCATCGTCTTGTTGCTTTCAAAAAAGATAAAAACACAATGCAAATGTTGCTACATGAAGAGATACGAGGTTTTAAACATTCCACTTTTCCAGGGTTTTAACTTTTTTCAGGGTCTCCAGTAATAAATTCCAAACTTAAATTTTTGTTATGCGTGGCGATAAGTGAAAAAAGATTGAGTATCATGCATTTTTCTCTTCTAAAAATAAGTAAAATTTATTTAAAATCAGATCTTGTGGCGTAACTACCACTATAAATATCAAATACCAATTCACAAGTATATGACTTGTTAACTCGATTCTATTTAGAGGTACCTTTGATCGACAAAGTTTGACATAGTCGATAATTAAATCTTCTCAATGGTGACCTGTGGGCGTGATATGAACAACATCGATGGATGGTCCATATACTAAACAGCAGTTTTGCTTAAAATGTAGTGCTCAGAAAAAAAATATACGATGAAGTAAATAAAAGTTTCCCGGCCTATAAACAACAAAAAATTAAGGAAAAAAATTTTGAGTGAAATGATATAAATAAAAAATTTATAATGAGCAAAAATTATATAAATAAAACTAAGCAGTAAAACTAATTATAAAAAAAACTAAGCAGCCAAAACCAACTAGTGGTATTCGTTCATCGAATTCTATCACAGATAAAATTCATAAGGGGAGTAATGTGGTGCAACAACTACTATAAATATTAAATACCAATTCACTTGTCTATATTATAAGACTTACTAACTCGATTCTATCCAGAGTTACCTTTTGATAGATGAAGGTTGACATAGTCGATAATTAAATCTTCTCAACCTAATTGTTTTTTTTATTTTAGGTATTCCAAGACCAACTTTAAAAACCAACCATTCATAAAGTATATCCACCATCTTTTTCACAATACCAACATTATAGAAATACAGAGATTTAAGAAATGAAGAACATTTTAAAAGTAAGAAAGATCTGTCGCATGAATCTGTGTGTTTCAATTTGAATATGCCAATGAACACAACATAGAGGACATCAAATTTTACAGTTCTTTGAATTTATGATCATTTATTGTGAAGTCTGACTAAAAGAGGAAAGTTGGACATTTGTGAGTAATACTTTGTTGTAAAATATATGCCAATGTGGAAGAAACTCTTGATAAATGATGCCAATAATTAAGCATCTGCGAGGAAAAATATTTATTTATACATAACTTTGACAGTATCATGAATTAACATCCCTGGTAAAATCATGCCTCCGGAAACAACATCCTTACTGAAGTCAACAACTTTTTTTTTCTTTAAAGAAAAACTATTAGCTTTTTTTCATTTGTAAAAATTAGAAAGAAAAACAATTGAAAATAAAAATACACAAATATAGTCGAACCTCGATAAAACGAAATCTGTGGGACCATCATAATTATTTCATGTTAACCGAATTTTGTCTTATCCGATAATCGTTAAAACAACTTAATCTGGTACTAATTATTAATTAGGACATTTACATAAAATCAATGACACTGATGCACTTTGGGAGCAAGTGCTTTAATTGCCAAATGCTTATGGGGGGGAAATAAGTTGTTTACAGAGTTAATTTGCTTTCCTTGTATAATTTAAAAAATCTTTTATGTGTGTACATAGATTTGATTATGTTTGTGTTGAATATTTGTAATAAAAAAAACTTATTTATACTGTCTCATTTTTTTGCAAGTTATTTTTACTTTTAAATAGTGATGACTAGCACTTTCATTCAGGGATTACCTTACTTAAGCTTTATAAAAAATGAAAATACTAAAGAAGAGGACCTAGATTAAGAATGAAAGTTCCAAATACCAACTTCTAAATAAAGCATTAAATATACTACATTTAGTATTCACTTCAAAGTAATAAAAACTTTGGTAAGGTCCTAAACATAAAATTTCTGACATTTTTAATTTTTTTTCCAAACAAAAAATAAATTAATAAACAAATAAGGTGGAATCATAATTTTCTTAAAAAATAATTCATTTTTCATTATCCTAATTTAGATTGTGCTATAAGCTCAAACGTGAGTACATAAATTATACACTCTCCGTTTATGTTCAAGTCAACCATTTTAAAAAATTGGTAGAAACTTCAGAAAATCTATTAAGAATATTTTTTTATATAAAAAAAAAAACTTTAAAACAATAAAAAAAAGAATGCAAATAGAAATCTTTTATTATTTAAATAGAATATCAAAATTAGTAAACAGCATCAATAACAAGAATAATTACAGAAAAATATTTTAACGAACTTCACATTGAAGAATTAGCATGTTACGTTTGGACATCTTCACAACAAAGGGAGGCAAACTTGAATGCGGTCTCTGACAACATAAGATTTCTGACTTCGGCCAACAGTTCTAAACCTCTGTAAAAACAATACAAAATTTAAAAAATTTGTAACAGGGTGCATACCCAAATCTTTCAACAAAAAATAAGCACCTTTTAAGTACTTTCTAAGCCCTCAAAAAAAAATTTTAAGCACTATATACATAAACAAAATAATTTTTGAAGATTTTACATGATCATGCTAAAATAACAAACTAATTTCTGACAAAGAACTCTTTTCTTGATTACATTAGCCATTATATGATGCTAATCAAGAGATTTTTCAGTTCAATATCAAAGGTTGGAAAATAAAACCTGAAATAGAGAATATCTTGCAAAATACAGCAGAGTTGCACATATGAGTGCAATCACCGGACCCAGTTCAGTAGACGCACCAGTGAACTCGCAAGTATTTAATCAAACATGTAAATTGTTTGACACTTACATACATTAAAATTAAACACTTTTTAAAAACACCAAATGAAAAAAGCACCTTTTAGGGCTTTTAAAAAACGAAAATAAGCACTTTTTAAAAGTGCTACTCACCATGTGTAATGAGCGGTGATTTTAAAAAAGAAATAACATATTAGTCTAACTATTATGTAAGTAAGCACTTAATAGAGGGGTGTACATGATTTGCTTGTTTTTGCTGACAAGGGGTGAGATGATGGCAAAATTGCCAAAAATATGCTTGCGTAATATTTGAATGGCCAGTAGGGTACTATTTTTAAAATATAGGAATAAATATTGGGGTAAGTATAGGAAAACTTTCTATATAATTGTTTCCTTTGAAATTATTTAAATTTTGACACAACTTACAATCTAATTTATAACTCAACCCAGGGTTGGGATTTCATTTTTAAGAAACCCATTTCTACCAGGACACTGAGAGAAACTGGATAAATTGAAGAAATTAGATGAAATGGGAAAAACTAGAGATAGCCAATACAATAATTTAGCAATAAGTATTAAGAAAAGCTAAAATTTAAACAAATTAAAGTTAATGTAGTACCAGAAAGTTAAAAATTTTTACATCTAGAGTTTTTTTTTTAAAAATAATTATTTTTCACACTATTCATTTTATATTCATATAGAATTTTAAAACCTATATAGCGTATTGTTTAAGAGTCAGTTTGAGTATACATTACAGCATTTGATTATAAAAATTAGTATGTCATTTGCAATTGCTAAGCCAATATGCGATTTGCTGTAATGTATACATCCAGGACATAATTTAATAATATATATATATATATGTAAAATTTGATTGTAATATTTTAAAAATTCTACACGTAATTATAAAATTAGGTTTTACTATACTTATTTGCATAAAATGTTGAAGAAATACAATTATTTTGCAAGTTTTTAATTGGAACCCATAAAGCAACAGAAAAAGAGGAAGGCATACAACAAATTTGCGAATAAGGGTTATAAATGAACTATAAGCTATCGTCAAAGCACAAAGAAAGCAAAATATCCACAGTTATTTTGCAAAATTTTAATTGGAACTTTTAAAGCAACAGTGGTTGCTTTTTTAAAATAGTTAAATCCCAACTTCAAAGATGGACAGTCATTTTTGAATAGTGTTCCCCAAAAACTAAAAAAAATTTACAGACTTAGTTACAAAGCTTATTACAAGCTTAATAAATTATTTTATTAAGTTAATAAATTAAGGTAAATTATTACAAACTTAGTTTTAAAGTAATTTAATTTACCCAGAAACAAAAAATTACTTTTTTTTAAAAAAATTAATAAATCTCCTAAAATAAATGATTAATTATAAGAATTAAACTATAAAAATTCAAATTTTTTTTAATTTTCTATTGTTTTTATCTGACTGATTCTAAGAAATAGTTACCTAGTTTTCCAATAGTATCGAAATTCTCACAGGAAAAAATGGAAATTCAAAATGAAGCACTAAAACACATTGAACAGATTGAAAACATTAAAAAAAAAAAAATTTCAAATAAATCAGTTTAATTTTAGATCTTTTCTCTGGCGTCCTTAAGCATTTGTTTTGGTATATATATAGAACTATAAAGAAAGTATTCACAACATATATATGAAGTTTAATGGTTAATATGAACATATGAAGTTTTAAAAATATAATAAATCAAATATTATACCTTTTAATTTCATCAAAAGCTAGATTTCCTTTCTTCACAAATGTACAGGCAGCATTAGTAGAAGTTACAAGTTCATCAACATTTCCAACAGATGCCAGGATTATGTTCAAAGAATTATCAATATTATTCATTAGTTCAACTATCTCCTCTAGAATTAAATTATAAAACACAAGTTCTAACAAAGATACATGAAAAAAGTTGAAATCAAATGCAAAGTAACTACACATAATACTAACATTTACAAGAAATGAACCCCACAAAAAATTAAAACATGACAAAAAAAATACATTGCAAATCTAAAAAAAAGTTTAAATGATGGAAATAAATTTTTTAAAAAAAATTGGCTATCATTTACAGGATATTATTTACATGAAATGCATGGACTTTTTTTAAAATAGTGATACTATAGTGTATCACAAAAAGGTTTTAAAAAAAAGAAGAAAAAAAAGACATGATGCTTATTCGTGACACTGGCACTGGTAAAGTTAGCAATTTGTATTTTTGGAATCATTTTTATTTATACAAATTTGAGCTATTTAAACCATTCTTTGATCTGTTTGTTTCTGGTCGCCCACATACTTTCTATAATAAAAAATATTTTGAGTCTAAACCAATTTCAATATAAATAAAATTTATTTAAATTCTAATGCTGTTGTTGTTGTTGTTAATTTACGTCGCACTAGAGCTGCACAATGGGCTATTGGCGACGGTCTGGGAAACATCCCGGAGGATGATCCGAAGACATGCCATCACAATTTTGATCCTCTGCGGAGGGGGTGGCACCCCCACTTCGGTAGCCCGACGACCTGCGCACAAAGTCGAGCACTTTACGGTAGCACAGTTTAATGAGGACCAATACCGCACACCCTCGGTCCCTACACAGACTGATCCAAGTGGTCACCCACCCGCACACTGACCGCAGCCAGTGATGCTTGACTTCGGTGATCTGCTGGGAACCGTGTCTTAACGATCAGTCCACTGCGGGACTAAATTCTAATGCAAATATTAATCTGCGAATTGGCACTGGTCTGTGAACTGGCAGTTGAGAAACAATGGTCCACAGAGTAACACTGATTTAAATTGATTAATTTAGGGTTAATATTTTATTCTTTATATTCATAGAAAAACTTCTCTTCTTAACTGAATTTACTTCTTTTTAAATCCAAGCTTCAGTTAGAAATAAATTTAAATTTAAGCAAAACTAAAATGTTTACTTTCAAAGCCCTCTAGTGGCATAACGTCTTCAACAAGCAGCTTGTGCCTCAAGCAATCTATCGCTGTGGCTATTTCCTCATACTGTTTTTCTAATTCATCCAAGATTTCAAGACAGGGTACAAGCATTTTTTCCTATAGCAATTTTTAAACTGGATGAGAAAGAGGTAAAAATGGATGAATCACAGACAAAGTTTAAGAACAAGTAAATGAAGCTTTAAAATATTATAGAATGCAATTTAGCCGATTAATGGTTAACAAAATTAACCGAATAAATCCAGGACAGTGCATTTTTAGGCTTACTCCAAAAAAGTTCATTTTCACAAATTCTTTTTTCAATATTCAGATTCTCTGAAGGATGCTAAAAAAATTTATGTTAAAAAAATTTATTGTATTTTTGTAGTGGTAGACACACTACACATTGATTTTTAAATGTCAATGTGTATTGTGTCTACCACCACAAAAATACAATTCCAATTTGCTAGTATATAAGACATGTTAACTCGATTCAATGTCGGAGAACTTTTTCATAGATGAAGGTTGACATTGTCGATATGAGTCTCCCACATTGGTGAGCAGAACACACCTTAACAGAAACTCCCACTTCGATTTGAACATGCATACTTCGATGGATGGTTCACATTGAACAGTTGACTTGCTACTTGTAACTGCAACATTATCCACCCCCTTGCGCTGTTGCTACTCAGTTTTGATCACACATAACGTCGGCCTGTGTATACTCGACTGCTAATGGCAACACAGGAGCAACCACCACCATAAACTTAATACAGATAAACTTAATACAGCACTCAAAAATACAGTGATCTTAATATAGCTCTCCTGGCATCTCACAAAAATACCAATGAATCAACTAGTGGTATTCCATTCATCAAATTTCATCACGAATAAAATTCTGGTGAGGGAAATACTGTAGTATGTCTACCACTACAAAAATACAATTCCAATTCACTAGTATCTAGTATATAAGACATTTTAACTCAAGTTCTACATCGGGATACCTTTGCATAGATATGATATATTATATGGTATAATCATAATATATTTGTCGATATGACTCCCACACGATGGGAAGCTATTTTCTACCCTAGGATTTTAGCGGCTACTTGCTGATAACTTCAGAAAATAAAAAATACCAATAAAGGGCTTTGTTTAGTTGGTGTTTAGTACTATAGTGGTTAGTTAGTATCAATGTGCTGGCCAGGTGACCGAGTGGTTAGCGTGCCTGACTATGAAGTCGATGGCTACAGGTTCGAATCCAGCTGAGGGCATGGATGTTTCTCTCAGTGTGTTGCCCTCTGTTGTGTGTGTGTGTGTGTGAATGTGGCCCACCCTATAAACGGTTATCTGTGGCGTGGGTAATAATGCTCTTTTCCATGACTTAGGTGCACACCAGGTAACGTTAAACAAGCAACACTTCTAACATCTTTCGAGGTGAAGAACGAAAGCTCTGTGCCTGCCGTAAAAATAAAAATTCATTAACACACATTTTCAAGCTGTGTTCAGAATAAAAAGCTCAATTATATTCTAGACATCCCGACAAATTTTTCAATTATGAGCTTACTACAAATAATCAAGGTTTTTATTGTCTGTAGTGGGTTGGGTCCTAATTGCTTAATACTAATGTAAAAACCTTCCTTTTTTTATAAGCGGTATTTAATGTTTGGAATGAAAGTTTTACATGTTATTGAACTTTGATTAATAGAAATTGATATTTTTTAAGAGATTGAAAGTATTAAAAAAATTCTTTTATTTGTAAAAGTTGCTTAAATGTTCATGTGACTCTAACAGAAAGATACCATAATTCATAAGACAACACTACAAATAATAGAAGATTTAGACCATCTGTAATGGGTATTGTCAAATAATAATGAATATTTCTTATGAAGTTCCAGTGCATAAAAAAAGTAGAGAGTGATTGTTGGGAATAATTTTTTCAGATAATCAACCTTGAATAAGAGAAATTGATGTTTTTTAAAGGTTAAGAGTATTACAAAACATTTTAATTGTAAAAGTTACCTGTTTGTTTAAATGTTCATGTAGTTCCAATGAAAAAGATACCACATTCAAACTATTTTTAATGTTTTCATGTTTTCCCATCAACTGTTGAATGTAGTTAAACACTCCAAAAAATTTTTCCTAAAAATAAAGATAAAATTATTAAACTCTATATTTGCAATGAGGATAGGGCAAAAACTCTGACTTATGGTCTTTAAAACTGTTGGTAGCAATGAATCACCAATTTAATTCATATAATTTTTAAGTTACTATCCTATGTAAATAAATTCATCAAAATTGGTATTTTTTTAAAGATCTGATCGTGTCGATCTATAAGACCGCAGCAGAAACAAATTAGGTTTTTTTCCTTAAAAGAAGGGGCAGCAAGCTTAGTCCCTATTGTGAGCCATTTTTAGTTATTTTAGGTTGGACAGAGGTCACTTTGCTTGTTAGAGAAATTCATTTTGTATACACTCAGAGGGACGTCAATCTCTGTAGTTTACTGCAGAATAAGAATACATTGGGTGTATTAGCTAGGTTTCTACTCTATTAAACAAAGTGAATTATGCCTTTTTTAATTTGAACAAGATTATGTGAAACATCATAAAAAAAATCTTATGAATGACAATAACTCAAAAGTATTTAAAGAACAAAATATTTAAAGGGCAATAATTTAAAGGACAAAGAAAAAAAACTTCCCCAAAGAGATTACAGAGTAAATTTTTAAAAAATATCGATAAATTTAAAACTTTAATATTTCTTCACTTAATTTGTTAAAATGAAGCCAATGCATTATGTAGTAAACATCTTGAAATTTTTTTTTCACTTCTAAATGTAGTGAATTGTTAAAAAAATGCCGTTCATTGGGTAATTTGTTGATAATAAATAAGAAAATTGAGATACAACAATAGTACAAATAAAAATTTTGTTTAATCTTTCTTTATTTTTCCCTTCACCATTATTTATGCTTTGTTCCATCTCATTTTTTTTTTCTTTTGAAAAATTATAATCTTAATTTAACACTGACCAGCATTTCAGAACGTTGGGGAAGAATATAAACAAGAAAATTGAGATACAATAATAGTACAAATTTTGTTTAATCTCTCTTTATTTTTCACTTCACCATTATTTATGCTTTGTCCAATTTTTTTTTTTTTTTTTTTTNTTTTTTTTTTTTTTTTTTTTTTTTTTTTTTTTTTTTTTTTTGGAAAATAATAATAATCTCAACTTAGCTTTGACCAGCACTAAAACATTGGAAAATTTTTTAAAAAAAACAAGAAAATTGAGATACAGCAGTAGTACAAATTTTGTTTAAGCAAGAAGCATTGAAGTTCTATCTCATTCTTTCATTTACTGAGCTATGTCATAACTTGATCATTCTGCAACAATTATGAAAATTAACAGTGCTTACACTAAAATGTAATTTTCATTTGTATTTAACAGAAAATATTTGTTACATTTTTAAAATAAAACAGCAAATCTAATATTAAAAACTAACAGAAAAAGATATATTAATTTACGAAACTTAATCCACTGATTTTGTTCTGAAGACTGATTTCAGTCCCCAGGACACCCATGCTGGTTACAGAATAAAATTCTAAATAAAAAAAAATTTAAAATTCTACTCACCAAAGCTGTTTTGGATTTATCCTGAAGACTTTTTCTAGCTTTATTTTCTAGCAGTAGGTTTAATTGATATTCAGCATAACATGTATCTAATTCAGCTTCTTGATCTGCTTGGCTCTAACAAAAATTAAATAAATAAAATACAACAATAACATCTAACACGAATAACATCTAAAAACAATAACATCAACATGCAATGTGGAACTAAAAGCAGCATTATAAAAAAAAAACTTTCTTTTAGTAAGTAATTTCTCTTATTTATTAATTTTTGAAGAGTAAAACTTAAAATAGAGTAACTGTAACATAGATAACATATTAATAATGCAACATATTAACATTCAATCAAAAAATTCTAAGTAAACACTCCAGAATGGTTGATTGACTATATAACATTATTTACATGTTCTATTTTTTATCACTATTTACTAGAGATTGTACTAGAGTTTATTAATATTACAAGTACACTTATCAACAAGTATAATTATAATAATCAATCATATAACACCAACTAAGCAACCCCTCTAATTCTGAAGAAAAACATGTGATTATGTGTGGGGACGGTTAAACAGTAATGATTGTAAAATACCAACTGAACTATAATCAGAAAATTTACATGTTTAATATGATATACATCGAAAATGTATATTGACAAACTCTAGCAATGAGTGATTATGTTGACAACATTCAAACATAGTTTTAAGAAATGAACAACTACTCAACAGGGTTGCCACTTAAATCTGGAACAAAGCTGGTGTTTTTCCTGTACATATTATACACAATATATCAAGAGAAAACACCTACACAATATATCAAGAGAATCACTGAGCTGTTGTGCGAGCTATATTAGGCTAACTATACTCGTTTTTAATTGCTGGAAAAAATTAAAGAAATAAGGAACAGCTTAGAATATTTAAAACAAATAATGCTATAGCAAATGAAATAGTTTAGTACAGCTGAAATATCATCCTTAAATATCCCACAGATTGGGTTTTGAGTGGTCACCACTTTTAAATGATGAAAAAAAAGAAATAAAATTCCCTGTATTATTCCCAGTTTATATGGAATAATTCAAAATTCACTGAATTTTCCCTGTTACTGTAGGCGATTTTTAAATTCTCTGCATTTTCCATGTTCTCCCTGTACAGTGGCAACCCCATTGTAAATAAGACGTTTGCTTCTTTTAAATCAAGAAAATGCTTAAAATAAAGTTTGCCTGTTTCATTTTATGTCATTATTCCATAATGTTTAATTAAATGAATGAATATCACTTATTTAGCCATATTAATCCACTGAAATTTTAAATGAAATAAACAAAATGTGATAAAAAAAAAGGTATAAATAATCAGAAAAATAAAAATTTTCTCCAAATCCAGAATTGTGTAGAACCTACAACTTACTACAGACTATCTACTAAAACCAGGGCTATAGAGAATAGAAGGGCTGGTTCACTCCTTTGTAGAAACTCTCGCCGCGCCAATCCTCCGATTTTCTCTAGTGACGTCACTTTGGCGCAAAGTTCACATTTTCATTTCAAGAACAAAGCGTTCTGCCTTAATAGCTCTAACTAATATTGAAACATTTCTTTTTGTGACATATTCTAAGACATTTGGTTTTTTCTATAATGACTTTCCTCAGTTTTTGCAGTGAATTTACAAACATTTAAAACTATTATCGAAATGCCAGTTTGCGCGATTGCAACAGAAGGAAGAAATATAATTTTCCGCGTGTTCCCTAAAGTAAATGAACAACTATGTAAAGAATGGATTACGAAATGAAGCAGCTAATATAAAACAGCAATACGTTTATTCCATCGTTGCGAACTTTTATAAAAATTCATTGTCTAAATAAAGACCGCCTCGTTACTTCAAAAAGAAAGGTAGGTGAAAAAATTGATAAAGTCAAAGAAAATTAAAATGCAAATATAAAGTATAAATAAAATATATAGTATATAGTTGAAATTCTCCTAATTTCATAACATATTTTTTAATGTAGTTATTCTAAATATTTATGATTTTTTTTAAAAATTATATTCTCTTCAATTTAAATATCTATAAATTATATCATCGTAAATTTAAATGTCTATAAACAATTGTAAAATTTCTAATGTCATTATGAACCTAAATTATTATTTTGTTTCAGTAATTAGCGCTTAAGGTTGATGTTTCCTAATGATTAAGTATGAACAAATTAATGGCATATTTTAAAATCAGGGATTCTTAATACAACTCAACTTATTGCTATAAAAGAATATGTAGATTAAAAAGTGTCGATATATGCTTTCATTTTTCTTAATAATTAAAGTTAAAACTGAACTTTTTAAAATAAAGTATTTATAGTGTCATTTTCGCTTACTAGTAAAACATTTTTATAAGTTTAAAATGGTTTTTTTTTTCTTAATATAAAAACCAAGAAAGTTTTTTTGAACTATGCTTATGAACGGAAATAATGTGTTAATTACGTAAAGTTTGAAAACTAATAACCAGAAAATGTCTAACTTATTTTTACAAAGAGAAAGATGCAAAGTTATCATATCTTTGCTTGCGATCTCCGAGATGTGTGGACACAGTGACGTCATGAGGAGGAAAATCGTAGCTTCAGCTCTAAGAGCGGAGTGAACTAGCCCTTGTATTCTCTTTAGCCCTGACTAAAACTTAAATCAAAACAATGAATTATTTACTTGATTTAAGGTATTTCTTTGTTGTTTGGCAGATTTAAATACACTAGTTGAAAAATTTTTCTGTTCTCTGCAATTTAGTGATTTTTGTCCTGAAAAAAAAAACAACATATTACTATGAAAATAAAAAATTACTTAAACTTTAGTCTTATAATAAACCTGAGCAAATACTTTTTGCTTATATAAAAAAAGAAACACTAAAAATAACATTTTTTAGGAAAACATAACTAGGACATTTTAAAATAAACACTAAACATAACAAACAGCTCCAGTAAGTAAGGTTCAGTAATGTTGTAACGACCCTTGGCAGAATCGCAGCGCATTGTTCCAGAACATTGCTCAGTTCTTGCAAAAAGATAATAACATACATACATAAGCAGAAAGATAATAACACATGTATACATAAAATTTGAATCACGCATTTAGATAATCACTTTTTGGCAAGCTCAATTTACGCCGATAGTATCGTAAATCAATGTAATGTTTCAATTGTATTTTCGACGGTTATTGATAGTGATTTTCATAGTTTCTAAATATCCCAATATATTTCAAAGAATATGGAAAATTTAAATCGTGCATTTGAGTATTTACTTTTTAAGGCAATTATTCTATCGATTTTTTGGCAGTTATTACTATTCCAATTTTTAAGGAACTATTATTCAATTTTCTATGATACAAAACCAGAAAAGATTGGAGCTATTTTGGGAAAATGGAATAATAATCATAGAATTAAAAATAAATTATTACTAATATATTTAATTGAATTTAATACTTAATCTGTCTATTTTTGGATAATCTGAAATAGTGCAACTAGCACTGGGAATGGCCGATTCATCAAAGTTTGGAGGAGCAGTGTCGACAGTTTCAGGAGTTGAATAAGTTTTCTTAGGAATAGTTTTTTTTGGAATAATAGTTTGATTAGCTTTGGTTTTATCCAGAGTAGCACTAAACAACCTTGGATTTCTTGAAAGATTAAACTAAAAAAAAAATAATAATAATTACACAAATGATAAAATAGATAGTAGCAAACTTACAAATATTAAGTAAGAAAGCAAATCTTATGCAATAAAATAGTTAAAAAATAAAGGCTCTGAATAGGTTCTTTTTAGCAGTTTTAACAGTTTTAAAACATAATTGTTAATAATATAATTTTAATAAACTAAAAATGAACAAATAAATTTAAAAGTTACTTAGATTATAAATTGAGCCGCGATGGCTCAGGGGATAGAGTGTTCGCGTTCCGATGAGCTGAATGGGTTCGAATCCCAGCTATGACAGATCTATACAAATTCCGCATCCGGCTTGCACCGACCACGGTGCTGACTGGCCTAAAATATCTTCAGTGGTTAGAGTCCCTTTGAGTTCAGGCTGACTATTAGAGGTTTTCGTGGTTTTTCTTTAAATGCAACACAAATGTGGGTTAGTTGCATCAAAAAGTTCTCCACAAAGGCAAATTTCTCCCAATACTTGATCCAGGAGTTTCCTTGTCTTCTGGATTGGGTTCAAAATAACAAGGCATTAGTAGCTGTAAACCCAAAAGTTGGGTCGACTGTTCAACGACAGTAATAACAAGTTTCTCAGTAAACACTGAACTAAACATCTTGCATTAAAGTTATACTTTGGCTGCATGCTTCGAAAATTCATGAGTTGATAAATCCTATCGGCAAACGGATCACAATATTAGAGCCGTACAAACTGACCATTCGAATAGTTGAAGCATTTACTGAATGCAACAAAAGCTTGCTAAAACTTTTACCAGCAGCTCAATTTCTGAAGAATGAAGAACAAATCATACTTAATAGTATGAAAAAGAAAAAAGTTAAGGCATTAAAACATATTCACAAGGCAGCAAATATTTTGAACACTGAATTTCATAATAGAAGTACAGTAGGATCTCGATTATCCGAGTTAACGTGGATCACCACTAAACCAAAAACCTCGGTTAAAGAGAAGTATATAAAAATAGGAAGGAAAAAAAAAAGAGTAGGTATAAATGTAATATATTTAAAAAATACAAAATTTATACAAGCACACCACATACAATTCATATTATTATTAAAAAGCTTTCATAAAAACACTAAAAGAGCATACTTTACGAGGAGAATTAAAGAGTTCTCACTTAAAGTTCTTAATAATTTTTTGTTTTACATCACTATGGCGTTTTTCTGCAAAAGTGTTTCTCCATTTTTTTACGGACAACAGGAGTGCTGGTGTCGCCTCTTCTTGTTGTTCTATTCAAAATAGCACTTTTGATAGCTTTTAGTTCATCTGCATGAGATATTTTTTTATATGTTGATTTTCATCGTCATTCTCTTTATTAGATTTATTTTCATTATTGATGATAATAACGATCTTTTCATCAGATCAAGTTGTTGGATTTCATTTTCCAGAGTGTTTGGAAGATAAAATTTAGAATTTTTTCAGCGGTAGTTTTAAAAATAAACTGGAACAAAAAAAATCCTTTAAATATTTGACAGCTTGGTTAAACAGAAACTTCCATTAATCGGAACTCCACTGTACAAATAAGTGGATCAGAATTCATTCATTATTTGGCAAGATCTGTACAAGTATTGTCAGATGAGGTTCTACTGAAACTATCTGAATATTCGATCAAAGACAGTTACTTTGGGGGAAAAAATGTTCCAAAGTCTGCTGAAAAATTAATTCTATAACACAGTAAAAAGAAACATGAGTTGGTCTCAAGTTGACTAAAATTGCGCTGATAATACTAACAATGTGCTCAATAACAGCTGAACGATGCTTTATTTATGGTTTTATTTTATATCAGTTGTTGAACAGCTGACCCAATTTTGGGTTTACGACTACTAATGTTCAGCTCTGCAGCCTTGTAATTTTGAACCAATCCAGAACACAAGGAAACTCCTGGATCAGTAGATCCAGAGGTATTATTTGTTATGGGAATATGGAGGACTTTGTGACTTGACAAATTTAACATGCATCAGTCACCAATTACTACACGGGGAGTCTTCGGCCGGCGAGGATCAAACCCACAAACTGCTGGACATGGGCCCAGTGTCCAACCAACCAGACAATCCCGGAAATATATAAAAAGTTTGCATTTGTAACCCACAGTCAGGGGTCTGTTTAGAAGAAAGTTGGGTCTGTTAGCAGACCCTTCACAAAATAATTTTTCTTTTAATTGGACCCTTCACAAATTTATTTATCTTCATTATTGTTTTGTTAATCGAATAAACCCTTCCCGAGGGTGAAAAAAAAGAAAGACGGCTCAAAACGAACTAAGTTTTCCAAGTTTCCCAAAGTTTAAATTCCAAATGTAGTATTCTAAGAATATATTTCTACTTTTACAAACATCGTGTGCACATTCTTATTGATATTAAATATTTTTTTTTGTAAATAAATAATTTATCAATTTATGATTCATAATCAATTAATTATTCATAATCAATTAATTATTCATAAAATTCATTAATAGATTATTATGTAATAAAAATTAATTTCTGGCTATTTTTTAAATAAAGTATTATAAATGTAAGAATTGTTTAAGTTTACTTAATGTGTAACACATTAAAAGTGATACATAACTAAGGTGTGTTATTTAAAATATGTCAATTGAAATTATTAAAAATGTGAGTGAATTTGTTTCCATTATTCGTCCAAAATGAATATTCTGTGTTGAACAGTATAGGCTAAATACCAAATATTTGTATGTTGCATCTCTAATTTAGTAGCAGCAATTGTTGAGCAAAATCTTGTCTCGATTTACAATTTAAAAACTTCTTGAAAAGGTTTTTAGCAATTTTTGCAATAACAGGACCCTATTTGCACAAATTCACAAAAGCAGAAACCTGGTTGAAAGAATGTGACTTAACGCTCATTTTATATTCACAAATTATGAGTTTTTTTCACAATTTTACAAAAATAGGACCTTTCACAAAATGTCTAGACAGATCCCTGACAATATTGAACTATTTAAGCCAAGACACAAAAATAGCATGGCCAAGTTTACAAGCACATATGATTCTGGAGCAGAATTTGATTGTATATAAACTGATGAAAATAGTTTTTCCTCTTCTGATAAAGAGGATAATAAATAAAAGAAAAAAATTTCAGTTAATTTATATTTTGTGTATATTTTCTTTAAATATTTCTGACACAGATAATACATATTACATATATTAAGAAAATTTGGACAATATATTATTGTGTATACATATTACAGCATATTATGATTTTAAAAAAAAAAATTAACTTCTAAATATGTAAGGGAAAAGGGAGGGATCCTCAATTATTCCTTAAATTTTAACTTAAAGAGAATATTCTTATTCTCAGAGAATATTCTCACCTCACATTTCAACCTTTAAATTATTCTCTCTACAGCATTCTCACTCTTGACATTTTTAATGCGTCAGGTAAACGAGGAGCTTTTTAAAATTGCCATAAATTATTTTACCAAAAGAGCTTGGCACTGTCTTCTACTCTACTCTACTAGACGAAACAAAGCAGTGTCGTATAATTAAATAAGAAAATATCATATTGGAGAAATCACACTTTTTACAAATCCCTTAGCCTTCATCTAGGTAAACATGTGTAAACTCATATAGAAATACAAAATCCACATACTTTGTCTGGGCCTGATGTAGTTTCTTCAGAAGTATGAAGACTGTTATATTTTTCTACAGATTGTTTATACCTTGATGGAACAGATCTCCCTAATTGAATAAAAAAATTAATTAGTTAAAAAGTTTTTTGTAAGAATATGATGAACATATACGAATACAAAAGTGGACAACTTATGATTTAGCGTTTTCCCTGAATATTTTGTCTGGATTGCTCATTTTGCCAGCCCATTCGAAAAAAGAAAAATTCTTTGCCCTCATGGGGAGAGAAGTTATAGACAATACCAACTTTCTTCGATGAAAAGGTACCCTAACAAAAATCGACTTATCATGTCTTATATACTAGTGAATTGGAATTGTATTCTTGTAGTGTGTGATACACTACAGTACTCCCCCACCAGAATTATATCTGTGATAGAATTCGATGAACAGGACCCTACTAGTTGATTCATTGCTGTTGTTGTGAGAAGCCGGGAGAGCTGTATTAAGTTCATGGTCGTGGTCACTCCTGTGTTACCATTGGCAGTCAAGTGTATACAGGCCAACGTAGTGTGTGATCGAGACTGAGAAGCAACAGTGTGAGGAGGACAATGTCGCAGTCACAAGTAGCAAGTCAACTGTTTAAAGTGGACAATCCATCAAAGTAGGCATGTTCAAATCGAAGTGGGAGTTTCTGTCAAGGTAGGAGTGTTCACATCACATTTGAAGGTCACCAATGTGGGATAAGAAGTTATAGACTACACCAACTTTCTTCTATGAAAAGGTACCACAACACAGAATTGAGTATACATGTCTTATATACTAGTGAATTAGAATTGTATTTTTGTAGTGGTAGATACACTACACTCTTTTAGATAAAAATCTATGTGATTTCTATAAAAGAAATGATTCTTTTATAAATGTTATTTAATTTTATCATAAATTCAAACTCAATCCAGGGGTTTGTCAAGGTTTTTCTGAGCGGTACCTATTTTGTAAAAATTTAGACTTTATTTGTGAAAATTAAAAATTATATCGAAAAATCAACACAAAAATATTGTTTCTTACTGGAGACAAACAAAATTTTAAGAAAAAGTATTTTGTGAAACTACCGTTTTTCCTAAAGTTGAATTTGTGAAAGTACCCCTAAACGGTAGTAAATTTAGCCTATACAGACCCCTGCTATCAAACAATTAGTCTTTCTTTGAAGAGAAAAAGAATAAAAACTCTTCAAAGAAAGTATGAGTATGAATACAAAGTGGTACAAGAAACCCGGAATTCCAGGTTAAAAATTAGAAACATTGTAATTGTTAATATTCATGTTTATTTTATTATTATAATTATTATTTATTAAAAAATATATCAATAGGATTTTTTTCTCATGTTTCATTTTTTTCTCACTATAATGCCCATTTAAAGGTTCCTACAAAAAAAATTTTTTTTTTTTAACATAACACAAGCCGTGCACAACCTATTGCTCGAGGGCCAATCACGGCCCATCAACTGTTGATGTGTGGCCCGCGGGAGTTTCTGAATACCATAAAAAAGTCTATTTTAAATTGGTTTTTGTTTACACATTTGAAATTTTTCTTTTTAAACATTATAAATTTTCTTTAATTAAAATATTTCATTCAAATTTATATCACTCTTTAAAATGTGCATATTTTTTGCACTTTCATTCTGTAAACATCTTTTTAGTTAGAGTTTATATCCCCCTCCCCCAATATTATGTATTGTATATACAGTAAAACCTCCGTTAAGCGGACATTCTTGGGACCGAAAAAATTGTCAGTTTATGGGAACGGTACTCTAATAACGAAGTTTAACAGAGTAAATTGTTTTTAGAATATTTTCAAAGATGTAGAAATAATGAAATAATCTACAATAACTATTTACAAGTATATTTATTTCAACTTTAAGAAAGATTAAAAAGAATACAAATATAAACAGTTTGTTATAAATACAAAATTCTAGATGTAGCTACAGATAAATTAATATAATTTTTCTATTAGCATAGATACTTAAGTTAGACATATACCGAATAAGAGCTTTCAGTCCTCACCCGGTTTCAATTATTTTAAAATTTAGAATAAGTAGTGTCCGGTCTGAAGAGATAAAAAATAACGTTTCAGGGCCAAAATGACTGTCCGTGTCCGGTTACGGGAGTGTCCGCTTTGCGGAACATGTACATAATGGTTCATTTATAGAAAAGTCCCGGGGAATTAAAAATGTATCCCTATTTAGAGGCATCCGTTTTGCAGGAGTGTCCATAACAGGAGGTTTCACTGTATTTGTAAATTAGTTATTTTGAAAAATATAAAAAGTTTTTTGGAAAAAAAAGTTTCAATTTCTTTTAGTTTTAAATAAATTCAAGTAATTCTAGAAATAACTTATTAAGTTAACTGATAAAATACCTAGTGCTCAGAACACTAATGTTTACATAAAAATTATCATATTTGCCGCTAACATGATTAAATATGCAGGTGACCCTTCGTTAATCTACCTGTTGTGGAAGTGGCCCTTCACTCAAAAAGTTTGTGCACCCTTAGCTTTACATTACCTGAATATCTTAATCCTTCCCTGAAATTCAAATTGTGAGACATTTAAAATTCTGAAAATCTAAAAGACTATCTAAAAAAACTAAAACTCTAAACTAAATTCAGCGGCGCAGCAGCCCAAGAGGGCCAAGGCCTACGGTGCCCATCTCAGTTTTCTTGACCTTGGGCTCTGGGGTGCAGGAGCACATGTTCCGATCAGGTGGTCAGTCGAACACGGAACCCCCAGTGTTTAGTTCCCAAGCATGCTTGGTACTCATTTATCGACCCACTAAAGGGATGAAAGGCTGAGTCAACCTTGTCCAGTCCAAGGATCGAACCAGGGACCTGTGGCATGACAGCGCTACCGGTCGTCAAAAGACTATCTAAAGGTATAAGATAATCTCCAGGATCTTGAAGACAATAAAAAGAAAAAATTGCACATATTTCAAGAGACACTATCACAAAATGTTGGTTATTTTAATAATCTTTAAGCTGGAACCAGATAATTGTTGTCTTGCCAGTCTGAGTGTGGTGCATTGCCATCACTTTGGCAGAGGATCAAAAATGTGATGGTGTGTCTTCATATCATCCTCAGGGACGTTTCTCAGACCGTACCCATTGTGCAGCTCTAGGTCTATAAACTACATACCATAGTCAGGGGTCTGTCTAGGTTTTTCTGAGATGTACCTATTTTGTGAAAATTTAGACATAATTTGTGAAAAATTAAAAATTATATTAAAAAATCAACAAAAAAATATGGATTTATCGTTTCTTAAGGGATACAAAAGTGAAATTTTAAGAAAAAGTATTTTGTGAAGCTACCGTTTTTCCTAAAATTGAATTTGTGAAACTACCGTTTTTCCTAAAGTTGAATTTGTGAAGGTACCGCTAAACGGTAGTAAATTTGACCTGGACAGACCCCTGTTAGTGCATTTTTAATGCAGTTTCAATACTTAATAATATGAATACCACACATTAAATTAAGACTAGCAGAAGAGAAAACTATAAATGCCGAAAGAAATGAAAATTTACCAGTTTAGGTAAAGATTTTCTTAGAAACACAACAGATAGAATTTAAAAACAGCTATGAAAAACATTGCAAATTTTAAATCATTTCAAATTATTAAAATCATCTAAATTAAATAATTTATTTCATTTATATATTCTGTCTTCCGTAGTTCTATTTTTCTAGCAATTAGTTTTAAATGTTTTAGTAAAACATTACATTAATCACCTAATGTATTATTTTGTTAAAAAATATAACTCCTATCTAATTTTTTTAAGCTGCGTTAGCTTTTCTTTAAGCCTGCTATTGTAAAACTTTTCTAACAAAAGCTTTTTTGTAGCTTGCCAGTGTAAAACTTTCTAATAAAACATTATTCTTTAAATAAATCATGCATATCATAGATTTAATCCCATACATTTTAAATCTGATATTCATTTAGACCCCATTCTTATTGCCCTATATTTAAAATCCCTATATGTTGATAATTTATGTATATTTAAAAATATTATATTAATTTATATAATTAATTGCCTAAAGAAATTTTATTATTTAATTGCTAAAGAAAAATATCAGGCAATATAAGATTGAAAATGTCTTAATAATAAAAAAAAATCACAATTACATTTTATAGTTGAAAACAAGCTTTTGCCATGTACTCTTTCAAACAGAAAACTGACTTTTTGCTATAAAAGATAATAGTTTTGGTACTGCTTTTTTTAAGTTACAAATTATTTTCTTAAAAATAATGCTTACATTAAAATTAGGTCATTGTCCCATTAGCTTCCACTTTACCCTATTTTTATTGTACATCATAGATAGTATGCTTTTTTTCTTTGTCTAATTCCTTAACTTAATAGTTAAAAATCTGATCTAAATAAAAAATAAAGACAAAAAATAATTGAACAATACAACCTTTTACTTTCTTGCTACGATTTGTATTTGATGACGAGGCCATTACAATGTACGATCTAAATAAGAATAAATTTCTTAAATAAAAAAAGTTGAATGGAAATTCGTTCAAAATTTCGCGTCTATCTATTGTGTCTATTGCACCGACAATCGGTACCAGAAACGGTTTATCGTTCTCTATTTCTGTCTAATCAATCCCTCGATAACGATCGGAAGTTCTTAAATCAAATGCAGTGAAAATGGTCCTTATATCTTAAGCCTTGGTTGTGAAGAGCTGAAAGTCAATGACTCCTTACTTATTTACTTTTTTCTTAACCCAAAAGAAAACATCTGTACTTTACCAAATGTTTGGTCATTTGTAACGTTACGCTTTATAATATTTTAATAAACTTATTAATAAAGATGTTATTTCCTTGTGGATATACCATTAATTTCATCGATTGTTTACTTTTTTAACACGAAGGATTTTTCCTTATAATACAAGATCTGTATTACTCATGAGTATGTTTTCTGCTCTAAGCCGATAAAAAAACATTTATCATAGTGAATTATTCGAATGTATATATTAACACAAAGTTTGCAAAAAAATATTAGATATCGTACATCCCGGTCCTGAACTATCAGTAATTCCAGAGGCGAAAAAACTAAAAGAGTTTAAAAATTCACATCTTTGCTTTAAACGTAGAACAATTATAAAATTGTTTTGCAAAAGATATTTCGTTAATAAATAAATTGATATTTTAGTTATAGCGGAGAATTGGGTGCATATTTGTTCGGACACAAATTCTTTTCAAATTAAAAACACTTGGTCTTGGCAGCGAGAAACTGAAAAAAATTACAGATTTTGTTTTTTAAAAATTGCAATTTTAAAATCTATTTGGGCATCTTGGCTTTTATAGTTGATGCGATGGATAATAATAAATATCCCCACATTCTTTGCTTTCATTGACGCTCCTTCAAATCACCGCTGCTTTTGTTTGTGTATATTGGTTTAGTTTCAGTTGTCAAAAATAGGAGGGATACGGGACTGTAAAATTTCTCAAAAGCTGTTTTTTTATAACTGTTTCTGTAATAAAAAGTATTTTTCAAATTGCTCACAAAAATATGGATATATAACTTAGAACATCCCAATTTTGAATAATGTACAAAATAACTAGTACAAAGACCTAAACATATGTGTTACAAATAGATACCAATATGGAAATATCCTCGAAATTAAGATTTTCTATGTCATCAGGAGTGTTTAAGTATTTGTTTTGGAACCATAGTGGTTCCAAGAACATGTATGGTGTGTGTCAGATTTCATAAATTTGTATATTTTTATTGTAGTGGACTATGCACAGAATGGTTAAGAACAGTCATAGTTAAAAAAAATGTGTAAATAAATTTGTAATATATGTTAATTTGAAATTGCTACTAAAATTATATTTGTAGCATTTTAGAAAAGCTATGTATGTAGATAGATGTATGACTATTAAGGTTATGTATTCAGTTATTGTATAGTGTTTTTTTTTTTTTTTTTAAGTTGTATGATAAAGTCATAGAACTTCAAGAAAACATTATATAGCATTTGGGGATATTTGTGTAGCAGTATCTGCTTGTGTCAATTACTATCACCGAGGTGACAGAGATTTTAAATTTGCCTATATTTTTTTAGAAAATATCTTCAGGTTTGCAACAAATAGTTTTTTTCTTAAAGATTTGAGTTGAAGCATGCGGGATAGACGAGCTGGTCTGAAGCAAGATCTTGTGCAAAAGACTGAGTGAGCTGTTGTAATAAGATAAGGACCTTATTTGCCTTTGGGCAGCAATGAATTATACCCTTTGAATAAGTCTTCTTTAGGGTTTTTTTTTTTTTTTCATGGGCTATTGCCCAGAAACTGTCATGACTTGGGGGTTTATTTTGATTTAGATATGGATACAGAAATCTTCTCTGCAGAGTTGCCACTCCACAGGGAAAACCTGGAAAATACAGGAAATTTTGTTTCTTATTCAGGGCTGCCACTTCACAGGGAGAACAGGGAAAACCTGGAAAATACAGGGAATTTGAAAATCACCTAAAATAACAGGGAAATGCAGGGAATTTTGATTTTTTCTTTACAAACTGGGAAAATACAGGGAATTTTGTTTTTTTATTTTTGTTGTTGTTGTTGTTACTTTACGTCGCACTAGAGCTGCACAATGGGCTATTGGCGACGGTCTGGGAAACATCCCTGATGATGAGCTTCTCACGAATCCNATATATGGGATATTTAACCATGATATTTCAGCTATACTGAACTATTTAATTTATTATAGCATTATTTAAGTCTGTTCAGCTGTTTTTCCAGCAATTGAAACTAATAAATATAGTTAGCCCATTATAGCTGACACAAGAGCACAGTAATTGTTGTTTCCTCTTAGTATATTGCATATAACATGTACAGGGAAAACAGGGAATTTTTTTTCCAGATTTGAGTGGCAACCCTGTTATTTTCATCTTTTAAAAAAATAAAAACCACTCTAAATGCAATCTATGGGTTGTTTAAGAATAATATTTCAGCTGTATTAAACTATTTCATTTACTATGGCATATTTTTTTTAAGTATGTTCAGCTGTTTCTCTAAGTTTTTTCAGCAATTATAACTAGTATAGTTAGCCCAATGCAGCTCATACAAAAGCATGATTGTGTTTTTCCTCTTTATATATTTTTTGTATAATATGTGCAGGAAAAGCACAGGGAATTTTTTTTTTCAGATTTGAGTGGTAACCCTGCCCTAGTATTTTTAAGTTTCAATAGAAATATGGTGTTTTTAAGTATTCAGCTCCTCTTAAAGGAGAAAGTTTGAAAGCAACCTTTGCCATATTCTTTGAAATTTTATGATTTTTATTTATTTCTTTATTTTTGCACCTTTTAAACATTTACTATTTGATTATGGTGATAGTGAAAATGACTATGCAGTGATCTAATTATCTACTATTACAGGATTATTTTAGCTTTATAATTCAAATGGAAGACAGCGGTATTGAAAGTGATTCTAAGAGTGCTTTATTTGCTGCTGACTCTACAATGAATGCTGTTGGAGCACAGAGCACTGAAGATAAAATAGCTGAAAATATTGAATCTGTTAAAACTTGCTCCTTGAATTCGGAGGTGATGGAATAAGTATTTTGATGTTTTCTGCTCTGTTTTACAGCTTATTTTTAAAGAAAAGTACTTCAGATTTATTTTTGTACTGCAACGCTTATCAATATTGCTATATCGTACCTCAAAATGCACAGCAGCTATTTTTCCAAAATCACATTAAGAAATTTAAATCCATTCAATGTAATAAGAATGAACAAACTCTTGTTATTTTTTATCCTTCAAAATTTTTTTTTAAAAAAAGAAATAAATTTGTTTACTTTTACTGTAATTAAAGTAAAATACTTACAACTTTTAAGAATCAGACTGGGTTTCATATTTGAAATGTTTTATTTTGTTGAAATTTTCAGGATAGGATCAGGATTGACTTAACATAAAATTATTATCAGGATTAACTTTACATATTAGGTGAGGCAATAATTATTTTAATATTTTTTGCTCTGTTTTGCAGTTTGTTTTTTAAAAGAAATTATTCCCGAGTTTGTGCTGCAATGCTTAGCAAATGCTGTATCGTGCCTCAAAATTTACATCAGCTATTTTTCCACCACCATATTAAAAAATTTAAATCTATTCAAGATAACTATAATTTTTTTTCCTTTTTTTTACGAAAAAAAAATTTATCAAAATTTTGAGGGTCAAAACAGATTGAATGTTTACAAAAAAACATCAATTTATGCATGGCAAAATGTTTTGCAAAACGAGTGGACCACTACATTGACCATCATTTTGTATTCTACTTCTTCCACGCTAACTATTAAGGCACAAATATTTATATTGGATCTTTGCCTTGTTAGTCAACGATCATTCAAAAATCTTTGAACTAAGGCTATCAAAATCTACTTGTGCCAGCAGTCAATAGCAATGAACAAGACTGAATGAATGAAAACTATCTAATGAGTAGTGCCTAAGGAAATCATGACATGTATGGTGTACATTTAGTTTGACTATAAATGTTGCAAAAAACTGAAATTTCACGCAACTTCAAGGTTATTAACTATTTTCTCCTTCAGGGAACAGTATTTATAACCATTGTTGAACAGCCGACCCAACTTCTGGGTTTACGACTACTAATGTTCAGCCATGTAGCCTTGTAATTTTGAACCCAATTCAGAAGACAAGGGAACTCCTGGATCAAGTATTATGAGAAATTGGCCTTCGTGGAGGACTAACCCACATTTGCATTACATGGAGAGGAAAATCTCCCTTGATTAGCCTGACAGAAAGAGTACTCTAACTTATGATCCGTCTACCACTCAGGATATTTTACGTCAGCTCTGTCAGTGCAAGGCGGGTGCGAAATCAACCAGTCATCGTTGGGATTCGAACCTGGTTCAGCTCATTGGAAGGCGAATGCTCTATCCCCTAAACCACCGGGGTTCTCAGAGAACAGTAATGAAATTTGCTGGAAAAAAAGCCTTGATTATAACATAAACGATATCAATTCCTATTTGTATTTTAATACAGCCTTTACTTAGTAAGTCCCTTAATTTTGATTAGTTAAATACAGAAACAGTTAGGGAAAAGCTGTAATTTAGGTTTAAAAATGTAATTTTGGCGAAATATGGATATCTGAAGTCGGCTCCTTCCCCTGAGGTGGGCTTTATTCTCTTGCTAAAATTTACTGAGGCAGTGGGTTACAAATTGCTATCTAGACAATTGATATTATGTTTGACATTTAATTTTTTATGTTTCCATTTTTTTGTAAACATAAAATTGTGCATTTTCATGAGTTACTGACAAAAACTCAGTTAAATGGATTAAGAAAAATTATAGAAGAAGAAAGAGAATGCAATTTTTTTAGCAATCAGAGCTATTGGCATTTTAATTTGGCTAATTATTAAAAATTGCTGTGATGAAATAAATTCAATTAATATGGCTACAATAATATCTTAAAAATTCGCTAATTTTTATAGATATTTCTTTCTTCTATTTTTCTTTAATGAAAAGAAAAACTTTCTAGCAATAATTTAGTTTTTAACAAACCTTTTCCCAAAACTCCAACAACAGGACCTCAGCAATAAATTCTTGATGTCTATAAATAAAATCTAACCCTTATTTATTGAAACAATGATGAATATTTATTTTTATAGGACAATGAAACTGATGTTGTATGTTTCAAAGGAGGCTACAAACCTGTCAAATATAGTTCTACAACATCGTTACTTCAGAAACGCCTAGGTATGGATGGAATTTTAACGCTTTTATTTGTAATAGAAGTAATAATTGTTTGTAATTTTATTCATTATTGTGCTGATTTTAAATCTACTTGTTTTTCAATTCCTATTATTAGTTCACACTCTCCCTATATCTTGTTCAAATTTTCAATCGTTAATAAAATAATATTTTATTCATCCACTCAAGTTCAAATGCATTTTAGACTTTATTCAATTCCTACTATTAGTTCACACTCTCCCTATATCTTGTTCAAATTTTCAATCGTTTAATAAAATAATATTTTATTCATCCACTCATGTTCAAATGCATTTTTTTTAATGCAGTGGATGACACTTGATGTTAATACAGTTTTTTCAAATATTAATTAAATAAGGATGAGCGAAAACGAAATGGAATTTTCTGATTGGTTAAGCGTTAGTCATTGTTTTAAATTTTACTATAAGCAATTCAGTTTTTCGCATATTTTAAAAATAACACAAGGGATAATTTCTAACTTTCGATATCTAAATAAAAAATAGTTTCCTACGCACATTTAAATATTTTTTTATTTTATATTCACTGTGTCAGATAAATTCAAAAAGTACATTGCATAGTAGCACGTGTGGTCTGCATCACCAAATTTATACTTTTATAGTTGTCTGATACCACGTGCCTTTTTTTTTTCTAATTTCTACTATTTGTTCAAACACTCTCCCTATATATATTTATATATCTTGTTCAAATTTTCAATCGTTAATAAAATACTTTTTATTCATCCACTCAAGTTCAAATACATTTTCTTTTAAACTTGTAGTGGATGACGCTTGATGTTAATACAGTTTTTTCAAATATTAATTCATTTATTAAACTTAATTGATTTTGGATTAGATTTTGAATTAAATTTTAGAAAAAGTTTGAAGTATTCAATAAAATGTTACTAAAATAGTAGTAGGAATTGACTTTAAAAATTTTTTTATATTACTTGTTATGTATTCAATTAGCTAAACTGACATGATTTAACTACAAAAAATATTTCTAGGCTAATGAAATTTGAATTGGTACTTATTTTTTGTATAGGAGGAATAGAGTTTTTGCGAATTTCTTTTCTCTTATTGTTTTCTATGAATTATTTAATTTTACTCATTAAGCTAATTTCAGATTTATTTATTTTCATGTTTTCACCTAGCTAAACTTTTCGTATTTTAATATAAAAAATTTATAAAAGAAATTAGAATTAACACTACTATACACATGTTTTCTTCTATAGTATATTTTATTAAGCTCTATTTTACAAAAAATATTTGTGTATGTTTCATAATTTTATTTAAGATTGTAAAGCAACTTCATAATTTAATGTTTAATAATTTTTTATGCAGAAAAACAAATTCTTCAAGCAAAAAAGTTCCGTTTAAGAGAGCAAAGTTTAGAAGGTCTTCCTAAAAAACTCCTTCCATATAACAGGTCAGTAAGTCATTTTATCTTTATCTTGTATTCGTTTTGTTTTTATCTTGTATTTATTAATGTCAAAAGAACTATAGATAATTCTGGTTTGACAGAGTTTTAAAAACATTTGTAAAGACCATGATTTTTATTGTAGCAATGTTTTAAACTGTGCAAAATTGCATATTCAGAGATGTTTGAAATTATATTAGTTGACAGAGTGCGGGCAATAATAATCTTATTACATTTTGCTCCCAAGGAACCTTTTTCTTCTTGGCTATGATTTATAAGTTTCTGATAGTGACTATGAGTAATGCATTAATCTGGCCTTATAAAATAAAGAAACTATGTGGAGTGAAATTGATTGATTCTAGTGTGCGAATCATCCTGAATATCACATGCAATCTTGAGTATTAATGTGCAAGGCATATTTAAATGTATGCCTTGCATATATATTTGGTAATTAAACTGTAAATATGGTATGAGGACTGTAACTTACCTAGAAAAAAGAAAAAAATTGGTAATAAAACCATTTAATTTTAGGGAGAAGTAAAATATAAATTATCATCAATTATAACATTTATTTACTTGTAAGAAAATTCCCAAATGTATATGCGTGTTATAATTTAAAAAAAGACAAAACAGTAATGGTTTGTCACAGATGATTTACCTCTCCCGAAAAAGAAGAAGAAAAAAAAAGCTGGAAAGAAGTACTTGTACTCAAGGTTTTTTTTTTTTTTCAGAAGGAGAGGGCTTTTTACAGTTTTTTGGTAAAAAAGGAAAGAAATAAAAAAAAAACTCGACAAGAATTTTAAAATTTGCTGCTTCTAATTTTATTACATATACTGTTACGTTTTTTGGTATAACAAACTGTTATTACTGTATTATAGTTAGTGTACTTGCAGCTTTATGATAAATTTATGATTGAAAAATTTACTAAGCTAATGGAAACATAATTTGTTTAGAACATTTTTTCCCTACACATTAATTAATAACAATTTTCTATTATTAACAATTTTCTACAATTAAAAGATAGTGTGATATTAAATATTAGTTTTTTAAACTTTTTAAAACAGCTCTTGCACGTGAAACTGGATTGAATTAAATAAAGCTGTTATACGTTTTTACTATAAGATGATGGCATATAAAGACTTTGAAGCTATTTTCTAACTTCTTACTTTAATTTTAAAATATTAGTCGAGCTTTAGACTGTAAAACCTGTATATTATGCCTAAAAACTCATCCATTATATCATTATGCACTTTATGATCTTAATATTCTTAATATTAATGCTGTTTATAATCTTTGTGTTATTATTATATTCCTTTGAGAAGTTGGTCATAAGATTGTTATCTGTGCCTTGGTATTACTTATGTTAAAGCTGTTCATTTTCATTATCTTTGAATTCTTTAATATATATATGCTACTGCTACATACAACATACAGTATTATCTCATAATACAGTATCAATCAGAACAAGCAACTCTCCAAAAACAACCATGTAATACATTTTATGGGTTACTCACTTAATGAAGCCACTTCCTGAGTGATGTCACTCTTTGTTTACAAAAACACCTAGAATAAATGTTGGAAAAATATTAATTTATTAAAAAACTTAATTCGCCTAATGACATGTTTCAAGCGCTCAAAAATAGCCACCCATTTTCTAGATTTGCCAAACATGAGAAGAAACAAAAATGATTTGAAATATAAAATGCAAAGTTGCCAACAAAAAGTGGAAATAATGGTGAAAAACTAAATTAGAAAAACTTTAGCAGCGGATGTGAATAAATATAACAAGAATAAAAATGAAAAAATAGAACAAGGAAAATAACTGTGGCTGAAAGGATCAAATCAGGTTTTAAGGAATTTCTATGCGCTATGGAGAGGTGTTGTGGAAGATGGCTACTTTTACTCTCAACCAAAATCTACAATATGGATGTTTTATAAATATATATAACCGTCATTGAACAACCGACCCAATTCTGGTTTTAAGACTACCAATGTTTAACTACATATCCTTGTAATTTTGATCCCAATCCAGAAGACAAGAGAGCTCTTGTGTATTGATTTGTTATGGAAGCATGAGGACTATGCAACGCAACAGATCTAACGTGCACCAGTCACCATTTACTACACGGGGAGTCTACACCGGCAGGAATCGAACCCACGATCTCTTCGGTATGGGTCCAGTGCCCTACCAACCAGGCTATCTCTGCCCAATGAATATATGGTTGACCGTGTAGAGCTAACTCCAGATGGTGCTAGGCATTAAAATTTGCTGTAAGACTTCTGAGTTACTACTTCCGATTGATTTCCATGCCTAAGCTTGCCATTTAATATTATTTTATTTGTAGTCTTCACAATATTAAACGTACTTTCAATTTAATTTTCAGCGAAACAAATAACGAATGAATTCCGAAGACCCCACAAGCATGCTATGATGCTGCCCAAAAAATAAATCTGGCAATATTTTACACTATTATAACCAAATAAGGAATAGCCCCAAAATTTTAGCAAATCTTACACTTTATTTATGTTATGATATTAATTTTCTTAAATTTGTGTCAGACTCACAACCTCTTAGAATTTTTAAATAGCAGAAATCTCTTATGAATGGTAAAATTTTGCTTAAATTTGACCAAACATCACAATAATAAAACTTCCTAGAATATTAAGTTTGTTCACATATCCCCTCGTAAGCATGGCCTAAGCGGAGGGATACACCGGAAGTTTTTGTAAAAATTTCTTCCGGTTTTAGGAAGCTTGTTATTGTTTACATTCAGTCAACAATCCATGTAATGGAAGGAAACAATAGGATTCCCCATAATCGAATCAAATTAAGTTGCATTATGTCAGGTTGCTATATTGTGATTGTACAAAAATAGCACAAATAATGACACACAGCTTTAATTTCATAGATTAATAATAAACTGTTTTGCATATTTTAAATTTGTTTTACACTTTGTGCTCATCTTTAGTGGATGTTGATACAATGTTTCAGCTGTAATTGAATTATATATGTGCTAGGTTGGGAAAGAAAAACAATGCATGCTTGCTAATGTACAATTAAGAAATAATATTGTAACTATAACACATTTATAATGTGAATTAAAATATTTATTATTTTATAGATTAAATGTACCTAAAACTCAGGCACCTGTGGTGTCAAAAACAGATTCTCACCCTTTAGTTTCATGGGAAAGTGACAGGTATGAATTTTTATTATTAAGTGTTTACTGATATAAATTATTTTTGTTACAACAAGTGAAGAGAAATTTCTTTATTTTTTAAAGGAATTCTTTTTTTAAATATTTAATTATGTTATTCATATATCAAAACAAAATATTTGATTCTGATGTTTATACTTTTTATCTGTATTTGAAAATCCTGGTATATATTAATATAAAATCTAACAAACTTTGTACTGTCAAGGAATTTTATTTTAACTCCAAAAATCAGGGAAAGTTGCAATTTTTTTACAAGGACCTGGAATATTCCTATATCATACCTGGAAAATAACCTATCTTAAAATTGTCAGTAACAGTAATCAGTTCGTGAGATTCAAGTTAAATAATTCAACATCTATTACAATTATTTGTTATAAAAATTTCATATTTTAGTCAAACTGAAATGTTCCCTTCCTCATTTAGTATCTTTTTTACACAGAAAATACTAATATTTCACATTACAAATAAAAGAATCAAAGTTTTCTGATGAAAATATGGTCTCAATTTTAATTGAAATTTACCTGGAAAAGAAGTCATGGAATTTTTTTTCAGAAATTGAGTGGGAATCCTGTCTAAATTAACAATAGTTTAAATCTCTTAAAAATTTTCATTTAAAATATTATTGGCTTAATTTCACATTTATGCTATTATGATTATTGTTTATTGGCTTTTTTCTGAATAAGTTGAATATAAGTTATTCTGAATAGTTGGTTTTTTACAGCAGCAGTTCCCAGTTTTGTTCAACTATGGAACCCTAAATAATAGATCCTTTCTAAGCAGAGCCATAGCTTTATAAATTAAGTTTCTTATCAATTAAAAACATAATAACCAATAAGACTACTTTGTAGCTTGAAAATTATTTTATGAGAAGAATATTTTTTCACTTTTTTAATAAATATAGTCTTTAAACTAGGGGTTTTGTATAACAGCTGTTTTGTCCAAGTTCAAAGTGGCATCTAATCAAATTCTTAATTAATTTTTTAGTTTGAAATTGAATAAAATAAGCATATTTTTTTTTCTCATTGAAATAAAAATTTATTGTTTGTTACGTTGAGAAAGAGTTATCAAGGAAACATATTTTTAATTTAGTTATTTAATTATGATTTGAAAAAAAATAGTGAAAAATGCAATTTTTTTTAAATATAATTGCATAACATTCTCTTAATTTATTCAATACTTTGTTGTTGTAATTATAGATTTCAAAAATTACTGCTGATTAAAAACAGTCCTTTATCTTGGAACCTTGTTAGTATTCTGAAGAACCTTAGTGTTACAGGGAATTTCTCTCCTGTTTATATTTCTTTGTAAATATAAAATAAATTTGAGAGCAAAATAATTGTTTCATTTTTACCTGTCAACTTGTCTGGTCCCTGAGACAATAGATTATGTGAAATAAATCATTTGTTTATCTTGCAGTGAAGATGATCTTGACTATCACCCTATTACAAAGTCTTCAGTGAAGGAAATTTCTGAACAGCTGTTGAAAGATGGTTACAACTTGGACTTGACACCTGATGATGAAGACCTTGATCTGATTCCACCGCCAAAGCCAGTCTCACAACGATGCATTTGCTGTTCTGTAAATTGTACTTGTCTTATTCAGTAATATTCTAGTCAGGTGAATTATTATTATGCTCAAATAGTAAGGAACTTTTTCTTCTAATCTTAAACAATAGGGAAATCTTGCATTCATATTCTCTATTCATTAAATGCATGATGAATTTAAATTATCCATTTATGCTTAATTTATACCTTAAACAGGGTTGCCACTCTATAAGGAGAACAAGGAAAACCTGGAAAATGCAAGGAATTTAAAAATCACTTAAAATAACAGGAAAAATGCAGGGAATTTTGAGAGTTTTTCTTTAGAAACTGGGAAAATACAAGGAGTTTTGTTTTTTATTCTCGTTTTTAAAGAAATGGTGACCACTCAAAGTGCAATCTATAGGATATTTAAGGATGATATTTCAGCTTTACTAAACTATTTCATTTACTTTAGTATTATTATTATTTTTTTTTTTAGTATGTTCCGCTGTAACTTCTTTCTTTAAGTTTTGCCAGCAATTAAAACTAGTATAGATAGCCAAATATAGCTGACACAAAAGGGCAGCAATTATGTGTTTCCTCTTAATATATTGTGTGTAATATGTACAAGGAAAACGCAGGGAATATTTTTCCCTGATTAGAGTGGCAACCCTGTTAAAATTCCCTGTTTCTAACAAGGCTTCCACATGGTCAGGAAGTCATGGAATCGTCAAGGAATTTGATTTTGGGGTATAAAAAGTCTCAGAATTGTCAGGGAATGAGATTTTGGACAAAACTTTGAAAATGAATAAGTTAAAAAAAATAAAATAAAAGAAATAATTTTTATTATTCTTCTAAAAATGTTGCTGCGACGAGGTTAAAATTTTTGTTAGCATTCTTAAAAATTTGAATATAAATTTATTAAAATATAATTTTTAGTTTTAATTTTTTTTTCTTCTTAACCATGTTTGCTGATTTATAAATACTATGTTTTGAAAAAATAATCTATCTGTATAAATAGTTTTGATTTTTAATCACAGAAAGGATATTTGATGACTGGCTGTATTATGACTCATGTTATTTATTTTAAGCTATCTTACAATTTATTTAGTATGCGAGGGAACTCTGGGATCAAATATCGGGAGAAATTTTTTTCGTTCGTGGAGAAATTTTTGATTGAACTTACCCTCATTTGCATAACACGGAAAGGAAAACCTCACATGGTTAGCCTTACAGCAGGGGTTCTAACCCACGATCCGTCTACCACTGAGGCTATTTCCAGTCAGCATTGTGATTTGTGCGAGCCGGATGAAGAATTCGTATTGACCAGCCATAGCTGGGATTCAAACCCGGTTCACCTTGTTGGAAGACAAACGCTCTGTCCCCTGAGCCATCACTTCTCTTTTTTCTGTGTTTATAGCAAAGAAAATACCAAAAGTTTCTTACTTAAGTATAACAGAATATATTTTTTTATTGCATCAGAAAATCTTCATAGAGCAATGCTTTTTTTTTGTCAAATTATTTTAGATTGATGTGTGAAATGTGTAAAAAGTATTATTTCTGCGATTATGAATGTAGAATTTTTCTGTTATTTAATGTTAGAAGATATAAGGCTGGGCTGAATGTGTCATAAGTTATATGTTTTATTCTTATATTATATTTGGTGTCATTTTTCTACTTTATTATATTTACTTATCTATAAATATTATTATTACTCATATATTTTTTGTATACTGCAATTTTTTCTATACGATTGATATATAAGTGGGATTAGTTGAAGGATACTATTATGGCTCTTTTAAGAAATATCAATTTCAATATTTGTTTTGTGTTTCTGTTTAAGTTATGGAATATAATTGTTATGAATCCCCCTAATTACTCAAAGTGTGCATCTGTATATTGTAATTGACATCTGTATTTTTAAAATCAAACTGTTTATTTAAAATGTTAGTTTTCTCAAATTTAATAAATAGTCACCACTTTTTACATTTTTTGGTGAAGCTTGCAATCCTGATGTTTTAAAATTTAAGTACCACAAGCTGTTATAATTACATACTTTTAACCTCCTTAGAGTTTACCACAGATTTCTGTTTAAATAAAAAAAAAATTTATACATGATATTTTTAAAAATCAAAATAAATACCTTTTTTTTTAATTGTTTAAAAAGAAGGTACTAGGCTGATTGAGCAATCATTGTTACTTTTTCATTATGTCATAATAATATTTGATCAAAGTTGTTTTTAGAAATCATATTATACAAGTCTTATTACCCCATTCTATATTTGTGTTTAATTCAAATTTTTTATTGAATGTTTTTTTAATAGTATTTTATAAATGATGGGCATGATTGTCATTTTAAGTCAAATATACTGATAGATTGTTAAATGATGTTTTGATGTTTTTTTATGCATTTGCTTTTTATTTACTTTATATGTACTATAAGGTGCCATATCTCTTAAGTTCTAATGCCATTGTTAAACTAAGTTTTAATTTTTGTAAATTTGTCTGTTCTTTATTGTTACTTTTTACTCAGTTTCTGCTCAAAGTATTAATTTGCCACTATACTTTTATTTTAATAATAGATTACTTTTTTAATCTAACTATATAGTTAGAACACATAATACATCATTGATCAGTACAATTTACATAACAGGCAAAAGAAATGTTTGTTATACCCATTCAATTAAGTTAGGTTTTTCTATTTGTAAGAATATGTTATCACAAGTCATCAACAACACACACACTCAAGTCATTCAACCACAATACACTTCGGTCCATTTCAAATGAAAGTGAAGAATGAATCATTTTACATGATTGATGAATTACTTGCAAGTTCACGTGTGCATCTACTGAACTGTGTTCAGTGAGATTCTTGCACTATCATGTGCAACTCTGCTGCATTTTGCAAGATATTCTCAATTTCAGGCTTCATTTTTCGCTCTCTGAAATCAAATCGAAAAATCTTTTTATATTGGCTAATATAAACAATAAAAGAGTTATTTTATCATTAACTAGTTATTGTCATTAACTAGTTATAGCTTTGTCAGAAACTAGTTATTTTATCATTATCATGCAAAGTCTTTAAAAATTATTTTGCATTTTGTTAATGTATATAGTGCTTAAAAGGGTGCTTATTTTTTGTTGAGATATTTGGCTACGCACCCTGTATATTCAAAATATATTCTTAAATAATTTTAAAACTTAAGCATTTTAATGCTCAAATGACAAAAATCAGATTGAGTGATTTTACTGCTTCCTGATGATTGGCTTTTCTGTGATACAACCTACAAATTATGTATTCAAATAACGAACTTAAATGATTTTTTTTCTTAGTTATTGCCCCTTGGGCTATAAAAGAAGGAAAGAAATTAATATTGTTAAAATAAATTATTTCTTTATAGCTTTTTAGATATTTTATTTGCCATTAACAAAAATAGATCATTCTATTACCTCCAAAGCTATTTGTTTGTTCTTGTCATTTTTTTTTTACCAGTAGAATATGATTTGTTTCTGTAGTTTTATTTTTTCTAAGTATTATTTGTTTCATATTTTTTACTTCCAATCTGTGATTCTCAAATGGTTTATTATGAAAGTCAGTTAGTTGTATTGCAAAATATTATGTGCTAAATCTTACAATGTACTTTGTACTTGTGTACTAATTTTGCCGTATACAGTGTGATTTTCAGATGTCCAAAGCCTTGTGATAAAAATGGTGAAATATGGAAAAAGTATTATTGTAATCCTAAAATATTTCAAGAAATATTCATTGCTTAATCCAAAAAAAAAATGGTATCAGTACAATTTTGATTTTTATTATTATTTTTCTTTAAATTCTTAACAAATTAACATGATTAACTAATAACTTATATATTTTAATTCTAAAAATAATATGATTTACAAATATTTTTATAGCTTAACTATTTTAATTTTTAAAAGTTATCACCTAAGCTGAAATAAATGTCTTTGATGTTTGGTGTAATTTGATTCCATAATATACAAACCAGCAAAGCTTCCAACTTATGAGATATTGCCATTTGTGCCAGTGCAATTCTTATCCAATACTTTCAATAATGCAAATTTCTTTTTTATTACTATTTTAGGCAACATAAGGGTTACAAAATTATACAAATTAAAGAAACAAAGCATTTATGGTTATAAAGATGTGATATTTAATTTTAAGAAAAATATTTTAAAATAATAGAAATTATTGTAAAATAATTTATTTCAATAATGGGGAAAAATGTTTCAATAAAGGGAAAATGATGGGGACAAATGTTTCATCAATTTCACAAAATTTTGAAGATCCTGTGTTAAAAGTGAATTTTCTTCTATATATTTTATTTAGAAAGAAAAATGATGTGATTTTTTATGTATTTTTTCATTGAACATTCCAAACTAAGAAATAATATTAATTAACAACTTGGGTACCTCCTCAGTTGTTAGCTATAAAAGGTTTGAAAAGCATATATATTTAAACGTTTTGCTCAAGCATTATTCCTTTCATTTTATTTGGAAAATATTACCTAGTCTCCTAGTCATCTTATTATACATATATTAATAAAGTAATTTTGCTAGTTGGAATTTATTAACACAGCAATCCACACTTTAAAAATTTATTATTATATCAAAACGCTCTGTAAATTTGAATGGAATAATTGATCATTTCTTAGGAAAAAAAATTCTGATTTAAATAAATGTTTTTTTTATCAAAAATTTCTTAATTTAAATCACTGACCTTGCTAGAGGGTCCCTTATGTAAATTTAACCAAGATAGAATAAACAGCAATATATCAAAGTCTGATTAATCACTTCCAAGGAAAGTTTTATTTGAAGAAAAAAAAAACTCCAAAATTTTTGATTTCTAGTTAAAACCAGAAGGTGTTTGTAACAATCTTCTTTCAATTCTATCTCTGTTTCATTAGGCAACAAGTTTTGGTTTTTTTTAATTAGTGATTTGACCTAATTGATGGCGTTTTTCTTGCTTAACTATTAATCTGTAAATTCTAATGTTTATTTTTTTGATAAGGACTCTAAAAATATTTATTAACGGATTAATAAAATATTTAAAGTGATAACAAAACGTCCTGTTTATTCCTGAGTGCTTTAGCTCCCAGTGAAATTGTACAGTGTAATTTCCAGATAATTGTTCAGGAGAATTACACTGTAATTCTCCTTTTTTACGCTCATAATATTACATCAAAATAGCAAATTTTTTATTTGCTATACCACCCCAAAAACCCATAAACATAATATTTGAAAAGAGCCAGGTCTAAAATATAAAATTAGAGATGTGTTTTTGTACTGGCTAATTATTTGATTGAGCCATAATGGCACAGTGGTTAAGGCACTAAGAAGAACTCAGATTTGAACCTCAGTGATGGCTTGATGCCTGCCAGATTGTCTAAAATGTAAAGGCAGCCAATGTGCAATGTTGATGCCTCATTGTCACCTTTATGTGGTTGGTCTCCCTGGCCGACTAACATGTTGCTGTATGTAGTGCTTTATTAATTATTTAATTCAATATTAGTTATGGCATATTTTATACTGAATTGTATTTAATCCTATATGCATTTTAAATATTGTTTTTCAGTTTAATTAAAATAATGCATAAATTTTCCTATAAGGTGTTCTGTAAAGATCACTCTTAAGATATAGATCATAAATTGTGAAAAATGAATGCTAAAAATGTTTACACATTGAGAATCGCAATTTATATTTAAAAGTGGGAAGAAAATGTTGTCAAAATCCTACAGGAAAAGATATTAAAACTTATTTGATTGCCAGAAAGAACTTTTATGTGTTTCTAATAGCTGTCTTACAACTCGCCACTGTTTTCTATTGCAATAAAACCTGTTTCGGTGCTCACCCGACTTCCTGTTTTGACTAATCTGCATTTTCCCTCTCTAATATAAATTTGGTGCTCCCTATGTGTATACCTTTTTTTTTTCCTTCGCATTTGACAAGGAGTATAAATATATATAAGGACTGTCCTAAATGAATACTCTGTATTTTAAAATAATGCAGTGCCAAAGCACACAACTTCTTTTATATACCATTTTACGTTCTTAATATTTAACTTGTTTTAAATAGTGCAGAAATGTAGACAATTATTGAATTCAATTAAACTTGACATAGTTGTAAAAAAATATCATTTTCTTTTTTCAATAATTAATGGATAATCAGAATTTCCCTGTATGTGATTTTAAAATATATTCCTAATTTTGAGTAGTCTTAAATAAGAATCTTCATATCGATGTTTGCTTTCTGTGCCTTTTTTAATATAGTGAAGCGCCATTTATACATTTTTCAGGAGACCTATATAAGTCGTATGTTACAGCTGAGGCTCGAAAATCCTTTATTATTGACTTTCAGATTAACATATTTACTTCATTATAGTTCGAAATTAAATGTTTCTCCACATTTTACCTAGGTAATGAGCACATTAATGCGTTCCCTATCGGTAATTTTAAAAACCTCTTATTTTCATAAAATAATATTTTCATTTAATTGTTAAGTGTTATATTTTTGATATATAACATTTTAAGTCGTTTGATTCTTTTTGTTTCAGTTACTTAATTGATTGATGACTGATTCGATCAACTAATTTGTTCATTCTTTGATTATGTTAACTTGATTCTTTAAGATAAATGAATAACATAATGTTAATTTTAAGCATACATAAGTGCTATTGCGCCAGCAAAGATCTTATTTTTACTTTAATGAGTGCTTAGTAGATAGGTAATGTGCTGACTATCTTAAGTAAATGGCAGATTACCTAGGTGATTTGAGAAATGAAACTTTTGGTACCTATCTAATAATTCTGCACACCACCTCTGCAGAATAACTGATTTATTCATCTTAGCCAGTTATATATGTGGTTCTTTCCATGCAGGTTATGTATGAAATAAAAGAGTTTATCGATTCCAAGCCAAATAATTATGTATTAAAAAATATATATATACGGAAGGAAGAAAAATGTATAACCGACGATTTATGTTTTCTTTTAGTATAAGAGAACCATTTTAAATAGAGTAAGAATAAGTTGGAACTGCAATGAAACGACGTGTCATGAACGACAATGAAATGAGGAATGTATAAACTGTGTTTTACAATATAAATTTAGAAACAATTTAAATCAATGTTTGGTAAAAAAAAAATTTTTATTCAAATTATAAATCGTGTTAAAGTTAAGATGTTTCTTGTTTCCAAAAAAAAGTGTGCTTTCATCTTTTATTACTGTTTTTGAAATTGAATTCATGTTATGAAATGTGTCTAGTCAACTTTTATGCTATATTGTAAAATTAAATTATGCATTTTATAACATAATAAATTGTTGGAAAATTCGTACTAAGTAGTGTGTTTTATTATTGATAGATGGATTCTTAAATTATGTAAATACATTCGAAGTAACAAATCCTGCATTTACTACATCAACTCGGAGCAAAACTCTCGAACGTGTGCTTCTAAAATGGCTCGCTGGTTTTTCACTAAAGACTCGAGTCTCCCACCCCAATCACTGCTGTTTTGTTCCATTTAAAAGAGTTGATTTGGGTATTCGTCCTCAATCACGGAAGTCTTTCGGGCTCGGTACAAAAAGCAATTTGTAATTTGCTGCTCTCTAGACACCCATAGTGCTTGCAACCAGGAAGCCTTGATCCTTAAACTCTATAAATCCGGTATTACTGGTAGAGCTGTTTTTTTTTCATTCACAATTTTGTCTAACACAGAAGAATAGCCATTCGATGACGGAAAGTGCTGCCTGATCCCCATCTTGTTCTCCCCGGCGACATACACAAAAATTTCCTTTTTTTGGGCTCGATATCTACCTTATTGTGTTCGCTGAAACCAGTTACGATGTGAAACCTAAAATGCTCTCTCCAAATTGAGAAATGGTGTAAGGATTGGAATCTTGAAATGGTCCCGGAATAGAGTGCCGCCATTAATTTCTCTAGAAGACGAATTGCTGACAATTTCAGTCTCAACATTTTCAACAAACCCATCCCTTGTATCAAAAACCTTCGGATTCTCGGCCTACTTTTCTCTAGCAACATAACATGACTTTTCACTATCACTCCAGAGTGTTAAAACAAAAAATCCTAAAGTAACTTTCTATGTTTCATTGCATCTCTAGCACGCAATGGGATGCTCAATCAGATCACGTGCTCCGAATTGTCAACTCTTGACTGTGGAAGTTGCATCTTTTCTTTCTCCAGTCTACGAACCTTAGACGATTTATATAATGCTGCCCTTCGCTTGCCTCGATGGATGCCCACTTCATTCCTTCTGAAAGAAGTGAGTACACTAGCTTCACGATATAAATGGCTTCTTCATTACATAAATGGCTTGTAGCAAAATTACCTACATTTTCCTCCATCTCGCTTTTCACAAGGCAAAATGATACCACTCATGCATAGATGGATGACCAGCAAGAATATATTTCAATATACCACACTCCAAATGTTTCAATTTATTTTGATAATTTATCATTCCAAACTAAAAATTTACTCCCGCTACAGGTTCCAGCTGCGTTTGAAAAATTTCGCTCTCAGAATCTCTCAATTTGTACTATTCTGGTAACCAATGAATCTAAACAATTATACAAAATTAGAGTGGAAGTGTATACCTTCCAGGAGGCACACGATCTCAGGTCAGCTTCCTTCACATTCATCGGTCTTTACCGCTGAAGGTTTTGGCATTTTCTTTGCGCTCTCAGGCAATGACCACTATATCTATTTAACGGACAGCAGTTCGATGATTCTGTATCTCACTAAAGGCACCCGAAAGCCTCGGAATTTCTTTGATCAAATCAAATCAGACAGTGAGATCTCTTTAATTTATTTCGGTTCCATCGCACGCAGGAATAAAAGAAAATGAGCAAGAAGATCAGCTTGCAAAATGTGCTAAACCAAAATTTTATTTCATATCATCACCTGAAGATCTTAGCCAAGTCTTCCTTAAGAAAGCGTTCAATAAAGAACCCAGAGTGTGGAAGGGTTGAAAATACTTCCTTTCCTTCCCTCACCTTGATGAATTTTAGTATCACCGTCCATTAATCAGCTCTTGATGTTATAATCGCCAGGCTCAGAACTAAATCTCTTCTGACTATAGTTTGTCTAAAGTAAGAACTCCCTTAGCAATTCACCTGAACCCGTGGAGGTGACTATGGTAACGAGGTATGACTATTTCAAGTAGGGGTGTGGGGTCATTGTTTAGGACAGGCTAGGGTCGGTGAAAGAAACAGAATCTTTTTCTTCTGTCAATTGTGTTCGCCCTAGAGTGAAGAAAAGCTATCCTTCCTGAAATGTGCTATTCTTGCTTCCATAGCAGCAGACTTTTTTTTTGGGGGGGGGGAGTTCTTACAGCAGACAAACTATAATGTGATCTTACTAAAGTGCAAATTGATACAAAGCCCCAAACTGTCCGTCCTGCAGAGTTTTTCCACACGAATGATCACTTCCTACTGGAATGTTCTTCATTCTAGAATGATCGCAAGAAACTTATCCAATCCTTATCTTTTCAGAATCCATCCATCAATCCTTGAACCAAACTCCAATTCCTCTACAAATTCTTTGAAGCCACAAATCGTTACTGCCTTTTTGCAGCATATTTTGCTAGCTATCTAGTCCCGCAGTGGACTGATCGTTAAGACACGGTTCTCATCAGATCACCGAAGTCAAGCATCACTGGCTGCGGTCAGTGTGCGCGTGGGTGATTTACTTGGATCAGTCTGCGTAGGGACCGAGGGTGTGCGGTATTGGTCCTCGTTAAACTGTGCTACCGTAAAGTGCTCGACTTCGCGTGCAGGTCGTTGGGCTACCGAAGCGGGGGTGCCATCCCCTCTGCAGAGGATCAAAATTGTGATGGCATGTCTTCGGATCATCCTCAGGGATGTTTCCCAGACCGTCGCCAATAGCCCATTGGGCAGCTCTAGTGCGACGTAAATCAACAACAACAACAACAACTTTGCTAGCTATCTAGCCTCAATCATAAGCTTCATTAACAGAAACACAGAGTTATAAGCTAACGCAGAGAGCTCATTGCACTTTTCTAAAATCTAATCTACTACAAACATTTCGTCGTGCTTTTAGCTCGCCGCACTCAATACTCAATTCTAATGCAAAATTACAAAAATTTATTAATTTTTGGGTATTGTTAAGCGTTTCTGGAATTAATTGCGTGTTTAAATTCAAAACGTTCTTAAGGCTGAATTGCAAAGTAAAGCTGATTGCTTATGGCTGATTCCGAGAGTGGTAATAAAATGAATTTAGACATAGAAATCAACTATAAAAACCATTTTTTAATATTATTGGGGTATTTCCTTATTTGTACCTGTTTGCACCAATAAGCATCGCCAAGGGATTTTAGTTCTTGCAGAAAGTGTTTAAAAAATGTGTAGTGGTTTGCCCGGAGGTGTTAAGGAGTTATAACCCTTTAAGTTTGTCGCCTCCTCTGACACATAATGCATTAATTTTTTAATTTTCTTTTTTAATTGTCAAAACTTGGTGATTGTTGTGGTATATTTAGGAGCCGATACGGATATCTTCTCATGTTATTTCGTTCTATTCCCGCAAGGAAATAAAATCCATATTTTCAATATTTGAAGCAGAGATTTTTTTTTATGCCCGTATTTGTTTCACATGTAATTTTCAGAAATATCATTGCAGAAAATAAGAGAGTGCATTCAGAAATGTTTTACTTTGAAATCAAAGTTTTAATAATAAATAATTTAAATATATCCCATTTAGATATTGCTGAACTTACATACTTTGTTTTGTCAACTCTTTGTACTGTGTTTGCAGGGTATAATTTTTAAAGAAAAGCATCTGTTTTGAATGAATTTAGCTATATTTTAAAACACCGTTCCCAACCTTCTTAGCTAACAAATTTAGAGTTTTGTGAAGAAAAAATTATGTCATAATTTTATTAGTAGTACTATTTATACTTGGAAATATTACAGTGACCAATTTGTTACCTATTATTTACAAATAGCGAATTTACACCGTGCACATATAACAGTAATTAGTAAAAGGTACTGTGTTACTAGAAAAATAAAATAACTTTATTGTATTCTCTTTGCTGTCATAACTGTAGGTAAATTCAAAGTTGATTTCAAATTGGATAACTTTAGCTTCAAGTCACTCTCATTCAATTGATCAGTTAAAAAACCTTGTTCACATAAACAGGTTGTCAGAAAGCCCAACAAATGTCATTATAATTTTAGCCAAGAACATCTGAAAACCGGTCTGTGTGTTTTGCTTATTAGGGGTTGTACCAGACTTTTGTGAAAGGCCCATTTTATGAAATTCTGAAAAATTTTAATTTCTGATAATATTTAAGGTCTTTTTTTTGTTAAAAGAAAAAGGTAAAAAAAGAAGCAAGTTTTAAATTTATAAAATTTTAGTTCTAAAATATTGAATTTAAGACATCATTAAAACTTTGTATTTAACAACAAAACTTGGTACTTTTCCATTTCTCCAGAGCAGGTAAATTGAGTTATTCTTATTTTTAAAGAAAAAAAAGACGTCAAGAAGTTAAATTTCATAAGCCAAGTGACTTTTCATTAGCAACTTTATTGCTTGCACCGGCAAAATGTAAAAGTACCCAAAATTTTTGTGAAGAGTCCATTTTTGCAATAAATATTGTGTGGAGGGTCTGTATTTACAAGAGATTATTTTAAGGAAAGTTCATACTTACAGGAGATTTTTTTGTGTAGGCACTGTAGCAGTGTTTTCATAGCAGAAAAAAAATGGGTGAAAATTTCTCACCCTTTCTCAAAAACAGGGTGAGATTTCAAAAAGTTAAGTGAGATTTCTAAAAATTAAAAAACAAAAACACAAATAGACATGAAAAAAATCATTTCTTCAATTATAATACATTTTTAATATCTTCTAATCTTTAAAGTATTGAATATTTTTGCTGCATCATCATATGGAAAATGTTCTATATCTACTTTTTCATCAGCTATTCTCATTAGGTAACTCAAATGCGTATTTATTTCGTTTTGATCGTTTCTACCCACATTTGTTTCATTTTCATTTGTCCGTTTCGGAGTAGAAGATATTGCCTTTACAAGGTATTTGTCCATCTTACATTAATGGGCAAAAAATTTGAACTTCTTACATGGAGAAACCTTAACTACGGTAAACACGTGGTTGCAGAGAAATGCGTTCTGAAAGAGGTTTCGTGGTTTGGAGGGATGGTGTTCTGTTGTTATTAAAGGTTCTGAACAATACTGGTAAATAGGGAAGCTAGATAATGGGCAGATGTTGAAAATAATGAAAGATCCAGGAAGAAAAATGTAACGGATTTTATTCTAAATGGCGCAATGAGAAATTTTTTTCAAAATGTGAGAAATTTGCGAATTTTGAAATTGGTTTATAGAATGCACGAATTTTTCGCAGTAATCATTTTTTAATGCGAGAAAAGAAAAAAATATGCGAGATTCTCGCATTCTCGCGCTGTAGTGAAAACACTGTGTAGTTAGAAGAGATTATTTTGTGGAGAGTCCTTATTGTTATGTTTGTATGTCTTTTTAATATGATTTATTACTAAAGGCTGTATTATTTCCGTTAATTAGTTATGGGCACCGCGTTTCTAATTTTAATAATTTCATTCTTTATTTTTAATGGATTTTCATTTTTACTATACTCAATAACCCCATCTAAATGCTTCCCTTCACCCCTGCTTGAAATTGGATCATCTCACAGGTGTGATTGGGTGGACAATTGCAGCGCCGCCTTTTAGTGGGGAGGAATACTATATTTTGAGGAGTTTTATAAATTTAATCTTATAATACTATATTATATTTTGTGGAGGGTCTGTATTTACAAGAGATTGTTTTGTGTAGGGTCCATATTTACCAGAGATTATTTTGTGGAGAGTCCATATTTACAAGAGATTGTTATTATATTTTTTTTGGGGGGGGATTTAATGGCCCACTTGTGAAACAGCCCAGTGGTTGGGTATTGCTACTTTAAAGTATTCAATTTTATGCAAATATATTTCAAAGTTGGTTGATCTGATAAAAGGATTTAGTGCTTAGAACACTGTCATATTTGCTGTCCACAAAAAATTACCATACTTTTGCAGTTAATCATAAATTTAAAAAAAAAATTATTTGAAATTCAAATCTATGCATTAGTATTATGTATGTCAAAAATAATGTAAATTTAAACAGTAATTTGGGTACTCTTTTTATTTTTTTCTTTTACTCTTTTAAGTTATAAGGCTCTTATAAAAAAACAGCTCAGCTATTTTTAAATTTTTTATTTTTTTTAAATCCTTTATTGGAAACTCCAGTTTCATTTTCCAACTCTACTACCAAGTCTTATAAAAAAAAAATTAATTAGTATTTTTTGTTTTACATTTTTTGGTTGTGGAATTTTTAAATGAATTCAAAAACTCATTCTAGAAAATGAGGAACATGGCAGTTTGGTCGTGGTTGTGATTGATCTGAATCCTTCTCCCCAAATGATAAAAGATGGAGAGGTATGTTGTTTTTCATTTTTCTTAATGCAAGTTTTTTTCTATAGTAAATAACAATTGAATCACAATAGAAAGGTCAAAATTGATTCACTATTTTTAAGCCCTTTGTGTGTCGATTCAATTACAGATTATCTAAATTAAACATGATGTTATGTATCCTAGATTGATTAAAGAATTCCACTTTTAGCAAATGTTGCCCCCATTTTGTAATACACCAGGTTAATTGAAAAAAGTCTTCAGTATTTTTAAATCTGCCTTATATTCTTTGAACTCATAATAAACCCAGACTGATATATATTACTATTGGAAAACTCAGTTCTTACAATTTTTGCCAGTGTCTTATATGCATCGAGCTAATTAAAAAGGATATTAATATTTTTGAACCTGCCAGTATTTTTAGGTTTATTGCAATCAGCCTATATGCGTGCTCAAGGGCTAATTGAAATAACCTGCTCTTAGCTAATGCTGCTAGCATTTTGCAATGCATCAGGGTAATTGTAGAAGTTTAATATACATCTAAAATCAAAGGAGTTAAATAAAAAAGTTCTAAAAATTTTTAAAGGTTAAAGTGAAGGATATTTCTTTCTAAGTGAAATCAAACAATTATTTTATAAATTTTCATAATAATTTCACTAACATATTAAATATGTTAGTGAAATTATCATGAAAATTCGCAATATTGATTCTAATCGAGTGTTAACATGGTGCGTAGCATTTTAAAAAGTGCTCAAGGGTGCTTATTTTCGATTTTTGTTTTCTAAAAGCTCTTAAAGGTGCTTTTTTCATGGGGTATTTTTAAAAAGTGCTTAATTTTCCCTTTTTGAAAGTGAGATTTTTTTTTTACCACATCGATTTTCGCTGCGTATTATGCAAAAGTGTGGTTTTCACTTTGTTCTATCCAACATTTTCACGATTCATTCAACAACAATCTATTTCAACTTACCGTTAGACCGTAGCGCATGATATCGTCAATCATGTTACATTTATGATGAAATACTTGGGAGTCCGCCTGTGGGTTGACGGAGCTGGGTATAATAAGATTCTTGCACTCTCGTGTGCAACTCTGCTGCATTTTGCAAGATATTCTCTATATCAGGCTTCATTTTCCACCCTCTGAAATCGAACCCAAAAGTCTCTCGATCTTTTTATGGTGGCTAGTATAATCAAGAAAAGAGCTTGTCGGAATCTAGTTATTTTATCATGATCATGTAAAGATCTCATTTTGCATTTTGTATATAGTACTTAAAATATTTTTTGAGTGCTTAACAAGTGCTTTAAAGGTGCACCCTGATTAATGTTTCTTATTATTTTTCAGTGCATTATGCCTCATTGCTTAGATGCTGTCATTAGTTTTTGTAGCTCTCATATTATGTTGAATCCATTAAATAAGCTGGCTATTATCGGTTGTCATACTAGAAAAAGGTAATTTTTTTGTGTGATTAACTTTTCTAGGTAAATTGTGGAAAATAGTTTTTATAATCCTATTATTTTGAGAACCCTCTCTGCTCATAATTTACTTTGGTTATTTGTTTTGCTTCTAGAAACAAACCGGGTAATCAGTCGTTATTTTCGAAAGTGGAATAAGTCTATTTGGAAAGTAATAAGGTTGAGGTAATTAAGAGTTAGTGTTTGAAGGAATTTAAAAATATTAACAAAAGGTGATTCTATTTGGGTAATGTTTTTAACAACACTATAATTTGATGAAACATCAAAACAATGATTATTTAAAATGCAACAATGATTATTAAAATTGTTTAAAAAAATTAAGGACTTTTTAACTACAATCGGACTTATTCCACTTTAAAAATAATGGCTCGTGTGAAGTACTTTGATAACTCAAATTGTTCCATATTACAACAAAATCAATATTCCCTACACATTTGATAATAGAAATTCATAATAGGAAAAGCCTCATTTAGCCATTATATTTTTCAGTGATTTTTGATTTCACAAAGTATTTTTTAATGGTTCATTTTTTTTTTAAAATTACAAAGAACGTTCTAATTTGTTAAATTAAAAAAAAAAAAAAAAATGACTCTTGTGACAGTTTGAAAGAATTTCAGCTAAACATAAATGAGAAAGCAAAGATAGTGACATTGTTTGAAGTCACTATTTTTTTTCAGTTAATGCATGCTTTATAACTATTTAAAATGGCTTATTAAAAATTTTTTGATAGTTGAAAAAGAAAATCTGCTGGTTTCACTTTTTGCTTAAGAAATATAAAATCTGTTTAAAGCATTTTATTTACAAGCAGTAGATTACTTTTAAATGATAAATAATTACATAAATAAATTAATAGTTGTACACCTGATGATTAACAAAAATGTGAAAATTCTATGAAAATTTGTATATTACTTTATAAATTTTCATCACATATCAATAAATAAATTCATCATTCATTACGTGTCTTGTTCGATTTTAAACTTAATTAAGGTAAAAAAATCGCAATTTGGAAACTTTATTCCAGCTTCACATTATAAAAGACATCAGTTCTGGCTATTTGATTTTTTTATTTCACTTTAATGAACTTATTTAATTTGTCTTAATTTATTCAGAAAGTTTGCTAAAACAGATATTTGAAATCACAAACAAATTTTTTAGGGTGTAATTAGGTTTTATTTTTGGAGAAGAGTAGGTAGATTGTAAATCTTGCTGTGGAACAGATATAAAATGTATTTTGTTTATATAAATGTATTTTGTTATATATTTTACTCTGTAAAATTTACTTTAAAACTCTCGTTTCTGCTCTTTTACAAATTAGTTTGTAATAGCTTTTTGTTATGAATATGAGAAAAAATTTTTGCTCTGACTGCATTGATGCATGTTAGTGTTTAATTTAATATAGATTGTAAGTATTTTGAAAGTGAAAAAATATAACAGGTTTTTGAAGTAAAAGCATGTTATATTTTTTATGTTTGAAATGCTTTTACTTGAATGTTGAAAATATTCAGATTTCAATATCCAACCTTTGACTAATTGTGATTTTGAATACAAAAGAAAAGCACTGAAAACTAAACTAATAAAAATGCTTTGTATTGAATGATGCAGTTTAATGCCAGTAATTAAAAATTGTTTAAAACTTATTATTACATCGGATAATATTCGTTCCATTTTAGTGCCTATTTATATCCATTACCTTCTTCCGAATTGGAAGGCTTGAAGCCTACTGATGGCCAGTATGAACTCTTTGCTGACATTAAAAATGCAGTAATAGCAAGTGTAAAGAAGCTCATACTCCAAGGTCGGTATAAGATTTTTTCTCTTTCATTTTTATGATACTGGTCCTAACATTGAGTGAAGGGCCACTTGAAGGGCTGCATGCCTAAATATGTAATAGTTTTGTTAGCTATCTCCTGCAATGAGTTCTGTGAAAAACTAAGGTAAACTTTCTTTGTCGGAGGTGAGGAAATTTTATAACCGTTGTTAAACAGCCGACCCAATTTTTGGTTTGCAACTACCATTCTTCAACTCAGCCTTGTAATTTTGAATTCTTGATGGCAAGAATTGACATTTTTACATCAGCTGAAGCCGATTTGCCTGTTTTAAGTTTTTCAAGATATCAACAAATCAGTTTTTCTGAAGTGCTTTTATAAGCATAAAATTATACCTAAATTTAAAGGCTGTAGTGTACTTGCACAGTGTGCTTTAAAAAACATTACTCTTATATTAACAAATTTTAGCTCATCTCATGGATGGACTGGTTTTCGGTATAGCAAGGTGTTTTTCGACTTGCCAATGTGGATGGTGTAACAAAAAAGCCTCACTATTCAAAATTGCAAAAAGAATATCTTCCTAGAAGCAACTATACCTTTTCTTGATGTTGATGTTGAAATATTTAAAAATTAACATTGAAATTTCAATAATCTTGTAAAAAATCAAAAATTTTAGTTTTAAAATATTGACCCAAGGAACGTATTGATACTTTTTAAAATAATGAAATATTTTTAAAATTGCTCTAGCTTATATCATTTATTTCAAAAATGTACTCCCTGAATGGTTTAAAAAATTTAAATTTTTTTTAACCAATTTATTGTCAGAGTAATCGCATGTGGAAATTTATTTATTTATTTCCAATGGCAGAAGTTGGCTATAAAAACTGAAGAATATAAGGAAGGATAAAAGCAGTACCGTAAAATTCATTTTCTCATTAGACGTTCCTTATTTTTTTAATATCTTTGGCTATCGAAGTTCCATAAAAAGTTCTACATTGGAGTTCCATTCTACGAAGTTCCATACAAAGTTCTACTCTGGCCATCCAAAGGAAAAAGCCCACAACAGAGGAAACAATGTGGCTTAGACAGCAAGCTATGTCCATATGCAGCTAAATAGTCCTGTTCTGTGAAAAATCAGGATTATGCCATAGCCTTACAGCATGGCCAGTCCGGGACAGTGTTTGGTTTATGATTCTTTCCTTTTAATGATGTATAAATTAATTGTATAATAGTGAATGAATAAATTTTATGACTTATATTGATACAATTTACTTTAAATTGATTATTTTACTAACGTTTTAATTCTTTTAGTTATAGAAAATGAAATATATGTGGAATCTCTAATAGCTGGTGCAATGACGATGGCCTTATGTTGTATCCTTGCAAAGTATTACATTAAAACCTCTAGAATAAATATTGGAACTGTGTAAACTTAGTTTAAACTTGTAATTTATGTTCTTAATTTAGAGAGAAAACATATTTTTTTCAATTTTGAATATTTATTTCATAATTAGCAAGGATCACTTTGAAAGTTCAGTAGATCATAGAAATAAATTTAAGATATATTCATTTCCTCATTTATAAACCACATATTATGCTTATTTTTTAAGCGTTATTTATTTAAAATGTCATTTCAGCACTTAAATTTAGCAGAATTTGTGCTAAGTAACTATGACTTAGACTTAGAGAGGTTGGGCAACTTCAAAGAGCCGGTCACATCGCCCAGAGGTATATTTTATCCAAACCCTAAATCATGATTAACAACAAAACTTCATAGCTGAAATAAAGTACAGCAAACGGGAATATCTTGCTGTTCTCAGGCCTTAATGCAATGTTGCCCTAAATGCTCAAATCTTTGAGCAGAATAGACCTCACAATCACAAAGTATGTCGTGAAGTCTCCACCTCAAGATGACACCCTCGACAAGGAGAATCAGATACAACACCCACCATGTCTCTTGAGGGTATAGTGTCCAGTGAGAAGGGCAATGATTTTCCTCGAACTGTATTGTTTAGCTTACGAAGCTCTTTTTGATGCACACTGGGACAGTCACGATTCCGCTCTTTAGCTTGTCTCTGACCATCTGAGTTGCGCCATTGCTCACGGGCAATCTTGCCATGGAGCTTGAATATCGATACCCTGAATGATGTGAGAGAGATTCCCAAATCTGGTTCAGGACCCCAGAAAATTGCACAGGAGCCAGCCTGTGTTGCTTCATCAGCCAGCTCATTTCCGAGAATACCCATATGTCCAGGTACCCGATACTAAGTAACTATAGTTAAATATGCGTTTTCCAAATTACTGTAGAAGTCTGTTATGATGGCAAATAGAATTGTCATTATAGTGAACTTGTCTTTACTAGCAAATTCACATATTTAATGTTAAAATAGCAATTGATCTGCCCTGAAAATCCTCTTGTTAGTTCTGGTATGCAAATCTGGTGAGAGGTTTATTGGCTTGGACACTGCCTATATCATCTGACTGCGGTCAAAATTCAGTGGTATCCCTACCATGTTCTTTAAAAGAAAGGAAACAGGACTAGATGCTTGGTAATAGCTGCGTGATGTGGACTAGTGTCCAGTCATTGTGAATAGATTGTAAAGAAATGCTTTACTGATTGAGTTTTTTGCAGCTATCAGAATAAGGGAAGAGTTTAATCAATTAAAAAATGAAATTTATTAACTCTATTATCACTTAATCTATAAAAACGAAATATTACTGGTAATTGGGTGGCAGTTGGTTTTGTGTTAGACTACATATGGGTTTGAGTGTTTTGCAATGTATTTTTTTGTTAAAGAAGGTAAAATGTTGTGTGTTACGAAATATTGTAATATTTACTTTTAACTTAACAAGATATCCATCGTTCAAGAAAACTGGAGATTACAGAAAAAAAGATTCCAGCCAGGATTTTAGTAAGTTCGTTTTAAACTTTTTGGTCAAAATTTTAAGTGATAATTTTTATTTCTTTTAATTTTCTCTAAAATCAGTACTTTTTTTAACTGAAGGGCTTAAAAGATAATTTAAAAAAAAAGATCTTAAAAAAATACAATTGTGAAAAATGCCTTGTGATATTAAGCTGACAAATAATATGAATTTTCAAAAAAAAAAAAAAAAAAAACTGAAATAAATAAATACTTTTTAGGAACTGAAATTTTATTACTCGTTGCTATGTTTCTATTTGTGAGTAAAAATAGTTTTGAAAGAATAATTTTTGAGTGAAAGCCTACTGTGCCTCCACTGTCCTGTTTATAGTGAACTCCTGGTAATTTATCAATAGTATTTTCATTTTTTAATCTTTTTTTGTTTATTGTTTCTGGTGAAAAAAAAAATAAGGTTGCTCTAATCGGCTAATACTACAAGCATTGCTTCAAGCTCTACTGGAACTTGAAAATTAATAAATTTACTATAAGTATAAAAAATTTTAGTTGTAAAAATGTATTACATAATTTATTGTAGTTACTTCTGCAAGTTTATAAAAACAATCTAATCAGGCATTACTAAAATTATAAGAATGGCATTTGTGACAAGACCATTAAAGCAAGATGAGGCAGGCAGGGAAACAAAAGATGCCTGAATGATGGATAGAGGCTCTACAGTAGAACAAATGGAAATTAAAAAATCGTCTGCCGGTTGCTACCCATTCTCCATTTTTTTTGGTCAAATATGCGTCAAATGTGTATGAAAGTGTTATCAATGCTTTATGATGTTCTGAAAATAATTTTATTCCCCACTTGTTTCTTGAACTTTCGTCTTCATTTTAGCAATGAACTTGGTATTGTTTATTTTTAAAAAAATGCTTCAAAAGAAATGCCTTTAACAGTTTTTTTTAATTAATTAAAATTTTCAGGGTGGCAACAAATTTTAAAAAGTGGCTGTTGTTAAAAATGCAAGGAAATCTCCTTTTTAACCAATCAAGAGTAAGTTATATTTTATAATCATTGTTGAACAGCTGACCCAATTTTTGGGTTTATGACTACTAATGTTCAACTCCATAGCCTTGTAATTTTGAACTCAATCCAGAAGACAAGGGAACTCCTGGACTAAGTATTGGGAGGAATGTGCCATCATATTTTTTGACAGAACTAATTAGCATTTGCGTTACATGGAGAGGAAAACCACACAAAAAAACACATAGTTAGCCTGAAAGGCAAGGGGAATCTAACCCATGATCCATCTACCACTGAGGATATTTTACGTCAGCACAGTGATCGGTGCAAGCCGGATGCAGAATTTATATCGACTGGGATTCGAACCAGGTTCGGCTCATTGGAATTCGAATGCTCTATCCCCGGAGCCATCACGACTCCGAGTAAGTTATAGTAAAGAATGAAACAGTAACAGTTGCTTCAGAGCACAGGGAAAGCTCCATTTTTGGTGATTTATTGATAATGAGCCTTACGGAATGATAGGCCAATGGAAACAGATTACCTATTGAAATAAATTGATCACAGATGAAACTTAAAAGGCTTTAGAAAATTATAATATTGATGAATTTTGGAATTATAGAAGGAAGATTTAGAAATAGAATTTGACATCTGCTTATTTGTTCATTTACATTATTGGGTTAGTGAATTATAAATGTTATATTTGTTGGGTAAAGGGTTAGTGAATTAAATATTAATGTTTTTTTTCAGTCTTTCTTTGAAATTAATATCTGAAATAGACTTAAACAGTCTATCGTTGTATTCTAAGTTGAAATATTTACCAATACTGATAATCAATATTTTTAAAAAATAAAATTAATTTTATTTTTTAGGTAGTGACTGCATCAGGAGATAGCGCTTCTCAGTATATGAACTTTATGAATGTATTTTTTGCTGCTCAAAAAGAAGTAAATATTTGTAACTTTTATTAGATATAGAATAATAAATTAAGATAAATTTGAATCAATGCTTGTAATAAGCAATAAGCTTATTAGCATATTTTTTCACGATCACATTAGAAAAGCTTTACTGTTCTATTTACATCCGTCAGGCATGAGATTCTTCTGACTTTCTAACCTTTAGAGAAAATTCCCATTTTATTTTATTCTCTCTTTAACTAGGATGGATATATATATATATATATAAAATAGCATTCAGGTTTTAAATACACTANTATATATATATATAAAGCCTAAAGCTGCAATGCCATATAGAAAAATTTACAAGAGCTGTTATCCTCAATGATTCTAGAGCTGTTCTGTTGGCTATCGTTTCTGACAATAATCCCATAGCACAGGACATATTAGATTGCTGTTATCATCTTAAAAACCTGGCATCACCTGAGAAAACTATAGTATTCCAGTGGGTTCGTGCCAACTGTGGAGTTCCAGGCAACGAGAAAGCCGACTTCCTGGTTAAAAAGGGTGCTTTAATTATGCTAAGAATTTCTCATCCTATGCCCTTCCATACTATTAAAAATCTTATTGAAATATCTATTAAAGCCAGTGCTCAGGAAGATCTCTATAACCCTGTTTCCCAAAAGTCCTGAAAAAATGCCATTCCAAATTTGTGTAATGGCCCAAGGTGTAGAGCAGTGGCTGAATTCCGCCTAGCTACTGGGGCATGACTGCCTAAGAAACCATCTTTATAGACTCAAAATTGTTCCTTCTCAGATAAGCACTCTGTGCAGCTCTGGACAGGTCATGGACTCCACACATCTACTCCACTGTCCTGCTGTGGACAATACTTTTCTCTCTGAGCGTTATTGGGAGGCTAGAGATATGTTAGATTAATGAACTCATGTTTCAGCATTTTTTGTAGTACTCTGTGTTCTTTCTTTTAATTGTTTTCTGCTGTAACTGTTCATAATCTGCCATTAGAAATAAACAAATATCTATATAAAGATTAATATTTTCTTGGATTGTCAGTGTGCAAATGTAGTAAAAATAAAATTAAATAAGTTTATAAATAATTTAGACATGTTTCCTTCTTGTGCAAAATTCTTTAACGCTCTTTTTTATTTAGTTGTTCATGATGTTACTTTATTGGTCTTCTCATACTCGTTCTTTTTTCACTCTAATGCATTATATACTTTCTAGACGTGTGCACTAATTTCTTTTTTTCAATTTTTATTATAGGGTATATTAATTGATGCTTGTGCTATTGAAAAAGACTCAGGCTTGCTGCAACAGGTGAGGGAATGTTTAATTACAAAAATAAATAAATAAATTTATTTGTAAAAAAAATGCATTCAAGCATTGATAATCTAATTAAATATAAGAAAAAATATAGTAATCAATCCAGCTATGTTACTTTTTATATAAAAATGAAACTTTTATAAAGTATGCATTATTATTGAATGAAGTAGCTGAAAAAAGTATAAAGATAATTTTGAATTCATTTTTCTCTAGAAGGCACAGTTCATTTAAAAAAAATAATAATTAACTGGATCAAAGTTGATAATTTAATACAGTTGAAATAAATTAAAATGGCTCTTAATTTACCCGCAGTCGAATGAAATTCCAAAACATACATTACGAAACATTTAAGAAGTTACTCATAAAAGGTGGCTAAGTTTGATATAGGATTTTGAAAAAAACCTCTCTTTATGAAATATAAAAATTAATCATACTGATTATTTTATTTAAAAAAAAGTGAAATCCCTAAAATAAAAAAAAATCCGACGATATTTTTTATCATTCTCTCATTTATGTTATAAATTTTGACAATGCCATTACCCAAATTATTCTTCTTAGTACTACAGCCCAGAAGAGGCCAGGATTGTTCCAACCAGCTTTTTGCATCAGAGATGCATGTTGTTTCCAACTAGTCATTTTTAATGTTTTCAAATTTTTTTCAACGTTATCAAACCATGCACATGGAGGTCATCTTTGTTTTTTAATGCCGCATGGTTTGTTGAAAGTTAACTGCTTTGTGGAACTGTAAATTTCTGATCTAAATAACTGACCAAGATATCTTTATTGAGCACCCCTTCTATCTCTGAGACTTTTGAATTTACTATTTTTAATGATGGTTTCGAAATTTTTATTTTAGACTCTTTTGATTTGAATGGACTTAAGGATTAAAAAATAATCTTGAAAAGTTTCTAAAAAGACTTTACATTTTTATGAAATTAAAAAGTAGAAACATATTATATTACAGGGTACTAGTGTACTCTAACAGAGTGCAATACCACAATAAGCATGACATATTTCCTAGCTTTTAAAATTTCTTAAACTTATAATTTTTAAATCATTCTTAATCAAATCATAACTAAATCAAATGAATTAGTTAATTTTTATTAAAATGTACAAAAAGCAAACATAATATTTTATTCTTTTCTGATCAATCAATGTAACGGCTAACTTTCAATTTCAATACTAATGCAGACTCATTGGATAAATCACCAACCTTAGATCTCTTCCATGCTCCTAACTGTCCATTGGGAACAAATCATTCACTTTCAATTTCCAATTTTTGGCGATTGGGGATGCCCTTTTGGACATCCCAGTCCCAACCATTAAAATATGAAAAGTGCTAACTAAAAATTCTCGGTGTAAGAGAATGTTTTATCTTGATCCCTTTAAGGGATTTCTTTTATTTATTATTTTTATATTTTTGAACTATGGCCATTTTCAATAATTAATAAATCAATTTTCTTAAACGATTTTATTTATTTATTTCTCTGAGACAATTATCATTTTATTACATCCAAATTAATATGTATCTGTTATGGCCAAAAAATCAATAATGCTATTTGTACAAATCTACTAATAAATTTAAAACGATCACCATCATAATACAGAGGAAATTATTAATAGGCCTGAAGCAGCATCTACTGCAGTTGTGAAACTGTTTTTGTTGTATTCATAAGCTAAAAATTAATAAAATAAATCTATGTTTCTTTCGAAATAAAAATGAATAAGGAATCTTAAAAAATATTGAGAATGGTTATTGGAGAAATATATTTCTTTATTTTGGAATTAGGTTATTTTATTTTGATTTAATAATTTGGTGGGAAAATCTAATGAAAATGTTTATAAAGAATGCATGTCCTTTTCATAATTTATTCAATGTATTGCTATTAAAATATTTTTTTTCAAAATTTTGCTCTTTTTTATTGTATGTTACTTGGACAATTTCATAAAAATAACTGATGGGTTTTCACGTAACCCAAGGTTTCTGTGAAACTGCTGGTATGGGTATCAGAATTGTTGTCATGGTTATTTACTTAAATTAAAGAGCATTAAATAAACAAGTTTTCTTTAAACTCTGTATAATTTTTTAAAATCTTTTTCAGGGGTGTGATATTACTGGAGGAATGTATTTGAAAATTCAAAATACAGCTGCTCTTTTACAATATTTGTTGGTAATCACACAAAATTTATTTAACTGTTCTTTTGAATATTATATTTTATAGCATCTATTTATTATTCATTTTGTTCTTATTAATTTTTAATATAAACTGTACTCTTCCGTTTATTTGTGGTCTATTTTAAAATAACTAAATATAAGAGAAATAAATGCTACAGTAAATTTTGCAATAAAACTTTTTCCATGTACTAGTTATCATTTAGTCTACATAAAACACTATATCACAATAGTTTGTCAGCATGAAATACTATGTCACAATAGTTTGTCAGCATGAAATACTATGTCACAATAGTTTGTTATCATAAAATTCTATCCCACTGTATTTCGGCTACATAAGTTTCAATGTCGTAATATTTTGTCTGTATAAAAATCTGGAAGGATTACTAAGGTTAGATTTATGTACAAATGTCACTTTTTATTAAAATTTGGTTTATGACTATCTTGCATTTAGATCTTCACTGAATTAAGCCAAATTACTCTTTCATTATTGCAAATTTAGATCAGAGTTATATGGATTAATTTTGATTCCCTCCCCCCATTTGTCAAAGGGAATGAAAATAATTGTAAAGCTAACGTTTTTTTCCCAATGGCATTTACAGGTATCAAGAATGAGCTGCAACAATTAATTCTTGTTATGGGGTACAGTCAATATTATTATATAATCTATCGTAAAACCTTAACTCTTAAGTAATTCTAAAATACTGTGCTGCTACCATGGTGGTAGCATTACTAACTACTTATGAACGTTTAAACAAATCAAGTTGAGAGACATTTTACATTGACTGTAGCTTCTATCATTTTTGATTCTGTGAAATGTATTTGTGATGTTATTTAATACCAGTACTTAAAATAATGCCTACGTATTTGATTTTTTTAGTGGATATTTTTGCCATCTTTAGAAACCAGGAAAAAAATGATACTGCCATCCAGGGTGCATGTTGATTATCGAGCTGCCTGTTTTTGTCATAGAAATTTAACTGAAATTGGATACGTTTGTTCAGTATGTTTATCCAGTAAGTACTGTAACAAATCAAGCTATATTATAGAAACAGTTCTTTTTTATAAAAACGCATATGACAACCACACATAAATTAAGCATAATTAAAACACCCATAACTGGTTAGTAATAACCTTGCAAAATAAATGGAAAAACCCGTAACAGTTTAATATACACCTTAAATTCAAAAACGAAAACCGTTCTCATTCAAAACTCAACAACTCTGATGTTCGATAAATTGTCTCGTGCTTTTATTTTTAATTTATCTCGTTATATATTATTTTTATTCATGTGTTAGCCAGATATTTTTAGCCTTTATATTTCCTAGCAGTTCTTTTTTTATAAAAACACATTTATTTGACAACCACTCATAAACTAAACAAAATTAAAATAGCCATAACGAATTAGTAATAACCTTGCAAAATAAATGGAAAAACCGGTAACGATTTAGTGTGAACAAATTAAAAAACAAAAACTATTCTCATCAAAAATCAACAACTCTCTGTTGTTCCATAAATTGTCTCCTGCTTTTATTTTTAGTTTATCGCATTATACTTTTTTTTATTCATGACTTTGTTAGCCAGATATTTTTTAGATGTTTTTAGACTTTATAACTACCCAGCTTTTTTCTCTTTGTAAAATTTACTGCTGTGTCACAGCAATTACCTATGCTTTCATTTTATTTTTTCTACAGCTAGATCAATACAGTAAAAATAAAATGAATGTTCACAAGACTCCCACAGGTCAGAAAAATACTTTTTCTTCCCTTTTACAAAAATGTCTGCAATATGCCTGGACAATGACCCATCGTAAAATTGTCCGTAACAGTTATGTGTTAATGAGATTCAAATAGAATAATTTTAACCTATGTTATAATTATTCATTGAAAAAACTTCGAATTTCAAAAGAAATTTTCCTTGATATATTTATTTAGTGACATTTTCTTTCTCAAAAAGCTAATGTATGATTTTGGGTTGGTTGGTTTAAACCAAATTATGATGATTGATTAAATAGAGGGTCAAAAAAAAAAAAAAAAAAAAAAAAAAAAAAAAAAAAACGGTTTAGGGTAAATAATTTTAATATGTCTTATAATTTACTCACAATACATTAACAAGACATACAGAACCTCTGCTTACCTCTACTGACGACTATCTTGTCATTATGGAACAAAAGAAAAGCTAAACTATTTATTACAAATTTGTTTTTTAATTTTTTGTATAATTAAATTTTCTATTATTAATAAAAATACTTCCAGTTTGATTGTTACAAAATAAAAAGAAAATATGAAGTTTTCTTAAATTTTTTTTAACAATTTTAAGTTTTATTGCTAATGGAAATCTGTATTATTTCAAACAAAAATAAATCTGCAATTTATAAATTTTTGTAGAAATGATTTTCTACAAAAATATCTTTGTTAAATAGGATTGGAATTTTGTTTAAAAAAAAAACATGTTTTTTCCAGGGCAGTTGTAGAAATTAGACAAAATGGAAGAAACTAAATATGACCAATACAATCGTTTAACAAGAAAAACTCAAACATATTAAATTCAATATAGTAACAAAAATATAAAGTGTATGACATTTACTTTTTTTTTTAATAAAAAACTTTATTTGCTTATTTATTTATTAGTTTTATGGTGAATTTTAAAATCTTTATATCATATTTTGGAAGAAACCAGACAAAAGTGGAAGAAACTAGACAAAATGGAAGAAACGGAATATGACCAATACAATCGTTTAATAATAAGTTTTACAAAAATTACTCAAACAAATTAAATTTAATATAGTAGTAATGTGTATCATGTTTACTTTTTTGTTTTTTATTTATTAGTTTTATGGAGAATTTTAAAATCTTTATATCATATTTTTTGAAGACTCTGTTTAAGTATTCATACTTAACATTATTTGATTATAAAAATTAGCTATTTGTAATTGAGAATTCATAATGTGTTTTTAATAGTATCTATGTTAAGCATGTGATTTGTAAATTTAGTGATATTAATAAAATTCACTTATGCTGCTTCAAGAGTACTTCATATAATTATAAAATCTAAAAAAGTTTTACTTTATTCCTTAATATAAAACATTGAAAATCTAGTTATCTTAATTTTTTAAGAAATTTATAAAATAAAAAAAATTTCCAGAGTTCTTTTTAGAAATTCTTTTTAGTTTTTGCTTATTTAAAAATAATATGTTAAAAAGCTCAAAAATTAATACTATTATTTAAAGTAGATTGCAACTATAAACTGTGTTTAAAAACTCTTTAAATATTTCATATTTCTTTTTGACAAATAGTTTTTTCCATTTGGTTAGAAGAAACCTGTTTCTTTTGAGGTGGTTTCTTTTCCAGTGTGGTAGAAACTTGCTATCCCTGATGTAAAACATAGTGAGCAAATTAAAAATTAAGTCCATGTCTCTCAGAAATGTTTAAAATAAAATAGACATCCCATGTTATCTTTTGCTTTTCTGTTAGGAGAGATAGCAAAAAATATTTTAAATTACAAAAAAAAGAAAGAAAAAATTAAAACTGTGTTTTTAGAAAAGCATTCGATTAGTTATATTAAAGATAAAATTATTCAAATTATAAATAGATAAGTTATTTACATAAAAAACAACAAAAAAAACTTTCCTTTGTTGTATTGCTACAACCTTCTTCATCATTACACAATTTCACTGAACCATTTGTTTGTTTTATTTTATTACGTTTTAATCCTTTTTCCCCTGACTGCAATGCTTATTGGTATGATTACTAACACTTTTATCATTCTTTACTTTTAGTTTTCATTCTTCTTTTTGAGTTCGTATTCCTTCAGTTTTTATTTATTTATTTTAACAAATGAATGTTAATCAACAGTTTCAAACTATTAACAATTTAAATTGGAGAATTTCTAATTAATTCTAATAATAATAACTGCTAATAATAAAATATAGTTTAATAAAACAGTTATGGCATTTTTAGAATTAATTACCTCAATATCAAATTTATAATTAAAAGTTCAGCTGTTTTTATATCTATTTTAGCATGTGTACCCCATACAAAGCAATTACCCCCATATCAAATCTATAATTAAAAGTGAAATTGTTTTTATGTTTATTTTACGTTAATAATTTTCAACTGTTATTGTGCTGCTATCTTCAACTAATTTTATTGTTATTACATACAATTGTAATGACAGTGAAAAAAATATGAAATATTAATTTCTCTTAGAACATTTTTTTCAAAACATCAGTAAAGCTTTAACAAACATAACGTTGGTATAACATTTACAAACTGAAACATTATCAGTCTTCCTACGACCAAGCTAGCTAGCAAAGAGGTAGTAAAAAGTAAAGATCAGTTCTTCACCTGATAGAGAATATTTATCATAGGGTTGCTTTTGCCTGAAAACCTTAACTCGCCATGCTAGCGGAAAGACTGGTGAGAGTGGCGAGCACTGCAACAGTGCTTATTTTTTCCCCTATTTTGTAATTTATTTTAACATAGTGCGTGGCGTTTTTAAAAAGTGCTTATTTTCGTTTCTTAAAAGCCCTTAAAGGTGCTTTTTTCATGGGATGTTTCTAAAAAGTGCTTAATTTTCCCTTTTCGAAAATTATATATTTTTCCTTTACCATGTCGATTTTTGCTGCATATTATGCAGAAGCGTGGTTTTCACCTTGTTCTATTCAGCGTTTTCACAATTCATTCAACCACAATCCATTTCAGCCTACCGTCAGTCCAAAACGTATGATAGCGTCAATCATGTTTGATGAAATACTTGGATTATGCATGTGTGTCTACTGAGCGGGGTTTTGCAAGATATTCATTATGTCAGGCTTCATTTTTCACCCTCTGAAATCGAACAGAAAAATCTCTCGATCTTTTTATGGCGGCTAATATAATCAAGAAAAGAGTTCTTTGTCAGAAACTAGTTATTTTATCATGATCGCGTTAAGTCTTTGAAAATCATTTTGCATTTTGTTAATGTATTTAGCAAAAATATATTTTGAGTGCTTAAAAATTACTTTAAGCGTGCTTATTTTTTGTTGAAAGATTTAGCTACGTACCCTGTTTAATAATTTTTTTTTCTTGAGAGTTTGAACTGTATAATTTTTACTACTAATTCTGAAACACAAATTTATGGTTTTAAATATTTTTATTCAGTAATAATCTTAATTTTTAATTTAAATACTTATGTATGCTTACAAAAATATTTTTTTTATAGTTTTCTGCACTTTCAGCCCCATTTGTTCAACTTGTCAGTAAGTCTTGCCTTTTATTCATATTTTTTTATAAATGTTCAAAGTTGTATTGATAGATAGATTTTATATAACTATCCATGTTCAGTGCTGGTTCTTTTATGTAAATGTAAACTAATTGTAAATAGTACAAGAAAGTGTTTTTTTAAATAATTGTTTTCATATTTAGTTTTATACAGAATTTTAAATTAATTTTATTTTACTCTGGTTGATTATTCATAGTTATATATGAATATAAAAATTAGTATGCTATTTGTAATTTTGTATCATGAGTAGCATTGTATATGTTTTGCATAAGATTTGTTAATTTAATTTTGCTAAATTTTGATTATATTTTAACAGTTTTTTTTGTAAAATTAGGTTTTATTGTACTCCTATACATAAAATAATGAAAAGCAGTTTAATTAAAAAAATGTGTTAAATTTGTTTTTGGTTCCAATTGCTGTTCTTCTTATTTATTTATTTAAAAATATTTTTAATTGTTTAATTATAATATTTAATAATTTCTACTTTAAAAAAATTTTGAGGACTATTTTATAAATTTTAGTTTTGTTTTACTAAAATATTTGATATGTCTTAATTTACACTTTTTTTAGGACTGCTTTCAAATTAGGCGCTTTACCTACTATTGGAAAAAAGAAGAGAAGACAAATTCCTTTACGGCATTGACTGTAAAAATTCTTATCTTATCATTGTATTTTTCCATTATTTAAAAAAAAAAAAAATTGCTTCAAATTTGTATTTATTTTTCCTGTTTTACACACAGGGTGGCCACTCAGTCTGGAAACCGAGAATTCTCAGGGAATTTCACGTCGATTCTGGAAAATAATTTTGTCGCGCGTCGTCGCTCTTTTCTTCCCGTTCCGTTATGTTTAGTTTTTCGGAGCGAAACGCATCTGCTTCATCGCGATCAAGCATCACTTGATTATCCTCCAATGAATGCTTCGTGTCCCCGCGAAAAACCGTTTTTTTCCCCTCCCAATTTTGAAAATTTCCGACCATGTTCCAAAAACTAAAATTTTTGGGAAGTCCTATTGGAGAAACCCAAGCCGCCCGAATGATAGTCGGATTACTGCGACTTCAGCTACAGAGTGGAAAGGAGTCTAAGCGCTTCGTTTCGACCGCCGATATTTGATTTATTTATTTATTTTTTTGCCTGACTGATTTTTGGAATTTTAAATATTAGGAACTGCACCGGAATCTGCTAAAATTGCGATTTTTAATCAGACGATTTTAATTTCAATCATCGATTTTCGTATTGAACTGATTTAAAACTTACGTGTTGCAATTTTTTTACGCGATTTAAAAATCGTACTAGCAATTCCTATTCACTCAATTTAAAAATCCAATATCGCGATTTGTATTTAAGCATTTTTGAAACCCAATATCGCGATTTGTATTCTCGCGAGTTTAAAATCCAACGTCGCGATTCGTATTCACGAATTTTTAAATCCAATTTTGCGATTCGTTATCACGCAGTTGTAATATCAGATATTGTTTTTCGTATTTGTACGCTATTTAAAAATTACTCACTGCGATTTTTATTCACGTGATTTAAAAGTTATGCATCGTGATTCTTATTTACGCGATTTAAAAATTCAATATCGCAAATTTGTATTTTCGTGTTTTTAGAATCCAACAGCTCGATTCATATTCACGCGATTTTAAAATCCAAAATCGCGATCCATATTCACGCGATTTTAAAATCCAATATCAAGATTCTTGAAAGATGTAGAAGTAAGTTTTCTCTTGAATTAGTTACTATAAAGATGTTATATATTTTTCATTAGTAAGTAATTTAATAGTCNACGCTATTTTAAAACCCAATATCAAGATTCTTGAAAGAAGTAGAAGTAAGTTTTCTCTTGAATTAGTTACTGTAAAGATGTGATATATTTATCATTAGTAAGTAATTTAATAGTCGTGCCTTCCTATAATTGCTTTTTTTTTTTTTTAATATATTAGTGGTCAAAATTTTAAAATTATATTTAAAGTTAACTGTCTAAATGCTTCTGCCACTTTAAATATTGAATAGAAATCTCCCAGCATAATTAAAAGTTGCTTTTATAAATCTCAGTATCATATAGAGCATAGAAATTTACTCTGCAAAACTCAGGGAATTTTTTTTGATCTGGAGAATGGCCACCCTATATACATTTTGTTTCAAACCTTCAGACAAATTTAAAGCAAGTCTTCCATTATTATATTATTGAACATTTTTTAATTGATGAAATCAAGAAGCTTTATTTCTATTTATATGAAAATAAAAAATATTTTGTGTAATGTAGCACATTTTATTCATTGATGAATAAACATTTTTCTATCAAACAATTAATTGATTTTTATTAGTTAACAAACATTTCGAATGAGTTTGCGAAACCTTCATTAAAACAATGATTATTTTACAAAATTACATTTTATTGGTAAAAAAAAAGTTCACATGATTAAATCGTTGAATAAAATAAATTAAAAAATTGATTTGTGCAGGGAACATTCTAAGCTATGGAAATAAATATGAAAAAGTACTTTATGTTAAGATAATGATAATAGATGGTTTTAAATGTTTAACATTACATAAGTTGGATGATTCCATTTGTTTGTCAATTGTGTCTTGTAAATATGTCTAATAAATTATATGTGTTCTTTATTTAAAGTATCTGTTAATCAACACAGCTAAAAGAGACATCATCTAAGAATAAACAAGACTATTTTTCTTTACATTAGGATTTATGGCCCTAAAATATTAAATGTTAGACGCGATATGAAACGCATGGTATCAATAGTTAAGTTAGATTAGTCCAAACTTTTTTTAAAAAATGTTTGAGAATTCTGCCATAGATAATTTAAAAAAATTTTAACAAAATTCAATGCGAAAAATAATTTTTAATTAATAAGGGTAAAAAAAATTTAATTTTAAAGTATACAAATATTCATAATTTTCAATTGTGTAATAACTCCCAAAATCCGTATGCTTTATAATTTTCAGCCATTGTTAAATACTGTATCAATAAATAATTTTTAAAAGTTTTTTTTTTGCATGAAATTACCATAAAATTATCAATTTTTACTCAAATACAGAATAATTGTGTTTTTTAAAGAATGTATTTCAGAAAGAATAATATGTATTTTTTTCAGAGAAAATAAAAATTTCAATTTCAAGTTTTTTGAAAACAACTTAGCTACAATATTTCATAAAATGTCATTAATAACTGAACAAATTTAGCTCTCTAAGTCTACGTCTGCTTAAAAATGTATAATCTTCAAAAATATGTTGTTGGTATGCTTTAAAACTATTCAAAGTATTTTCTTCAAAACATTTTATTTTAACAATAATTAGATACTATTTCAAACTATGATAAAGCTTCATTTAAATATGTAAAATAATAATATATTAATATTTCTCTATAATAAAATAATTTTAAGTCCTATCAGTCATTATTTTTATCACTTTCTATTTGTCAGGCATTTGTTAAAGAATTGGGATCTTCGATATTAACATTAGTAACATAATTGGGATCTGCAATATTTGTAACATCAGCATTAGTTAGATGATTCGGGTCATAAATATTAGATTCATCAACACTTGTAACAGAATTGGGATCCTCAATATTTGAGCTCATAGAATTGTCAACAATCAATGTTTCTTGGGTAGTGATTGAATCATAATCAATTACACCTTTGAGATTCTTTTCAACTTCATCACTTACGCAATCACTATTTCCAGAAGTATTGGGCAAAGCTTCATTTTCACTACCCTTTTGGCCACCACGGTCCTTTGGAAAATTTTCATTATTCCTTTGGTCTCCTTGGTTCTTTGAAAAATTTTCACTATTCTTTTGGTCTTCTTGATCCTTTGAAAAATTTTCAAAACCTTTAGAGCTTTTGCGAGTTGTTTCCTGTGGCTCATCAATTGATTTAACAGTGAACATTATGCCTAAATCATCTTTCGTTGGCAATATAGTCTCCAGAGACTGAGTTATGTTTTTCGAATCTAGTTTGTATTCAAATTTCTTGAATTCCAGGGTTGTAATTCCCAAAACTTGAGAAATATTTTCAGGAGGAAAGAGACATGCTAAGCATTTATTGAAATGTGGAATTAAATCAGATAATATAAGAAAACAAAATTTATTAAAATTGTTAAGCTCTACATCACTCATGTTGCGTAATTGCTTGGAATGGTAAGACACAATTGTATTCACAAAGCGGTTCAAAGATTTCGATAAGGCGCTCGTTACATCAGAAGCTATGGCAAAAGAGCAACACAATTTCAGCTCGTTTAAAGCTCCAAGTATGTCATTACAGTATTGAGCCAAGGGATAAAAATCTAATAAGCCTAAAGGAGGTTGCAACGATTCCTCCGCCGTGTTCGTAACTAAGAAAAGAGTATTGGTGTATGTTGAAAAATCATGCGCTTCAAAGCACTTTTCGCACTTAAATGTTAAAGCCTCTAGATTTGAACAGAACTTTTGTAATGAAACTGACTGAAACAGGGGAACTAAGAGAGGACGAAAGTCTATGCCGACGCGACTGAACGACAATCCGAAATACATGCACTGGGCTAACACGGAATCAACTCTGCCACCCAAATTGCTTGAAATGTCACTTTTCAAGATACGTAAAAAAGTTTGTATTTTCCAGGTAATCCAACTTTGGAAGATGGCACAATTTCCTTTCAAATCTTCTCTAACGAGAAGTAGCGGGTCTTCATCAGAAAAAATGGCTCGGTATTGTGTCGTAATATCAAACAAATGAACTCTGCTGCTTTCTATTACTTTCATGACATGATCGTAAGGATTGCTTTTATCGATATCTGCTATCACCTTCTGAAACCATGTATCTCTAGCTTGCAAGAACTTGATACGCAATTCATACTCATTAAAGGCATCCATTCTTCTTAGATAACCAACAACTTTAAGACATTCAGGGAGTTGAATGTTGGTACGCAATCTAGAAAGTAAATGATTCAGCATCGATGTTACCGATACCTTAACATCTTCAACAATACTTTTGATCAAAAAAATATCAGAATGCTTCTTTTCCAATCTTTTGACATAAGTAGAAAGTTCCAAGGCTTCATCATAATAACCATTTTTAACATAATTATCCATCAACTGTGGCATCTCCAGAAATTCAAGCAGTTGAGGATGTTTTGATAGGGTAGATGAGGCCTGATGCCATCTTGCGCTGATTTTTTGAGAATCTTTAGCGAATGTGCTGCATTTTGAACTGAAGTTAGGTAACTTGTCCAGCAAAAGGTTCAGTCTAGTTTCGATGATGTTGAAATCTTGAAATATTTTATGGGAGCATTCAGCCGCTTGAATGAATGTTTTGTAATTATGAAAGGCTAAATCTTGAGTTTGTTCTAACAGTGCTACTTTTTGTTCGGTTAACTTTTCTGGCTCATGGTTTAAGTGTTGGATTCCCAGACCTCCAAGATCCGATAAGTATAACAACACGTCAGGATTGTCTCTCCAAGTTTCTTGGAACGATTCAGGCAGTACACGGAGAACCTCATCGTAGTCAGCTGCACTATGATCGTCTGACATTTTCACAATAAACAAGAAAATAAATTGCAGAAAACTCTATAAATGCATAGTGAAAAATTTGTAATCTCGGTTATTCACGAAGTTACAGCTCAATGTAAACATATACGTAAACCAGTAAACAAAGAGCTTTTTTAAAATATGGTACTATGAATATCTCTTAACCGTTTCAAACAGTTTTAGTTCGTAAATGCTTTAAAAACTGGCTATTGAAGGAGCAGATCAAATTTAAAAGTTAGAACTGTGTAACAATAATCATTTAAAGCACCAAATCGATAACGATTATATTTTTCACTTTTGTTCAACTAGTTTTGTTTTTAAAGGAAATTCTTTCTTAATAATCAAGATCTAATCATATACAGAGACTTATATTGCTAGAAATTTATAAATAAATACTGTTTTGGGATCACTAAGAAATAAAATCAATTATTAAATTAAAATTTTTTTTAAATTTCCTCACAGTTTTGATTTGTAAATTGGCATCATGTCAGCTCTTCGTATTTCTAAAATTTTTATGTGTTCGTGATGTTTATAGTAAAAAAGTATTTCCTATATTTTTTTATATAATCCATACACAGATTCATATCTGATGCGATTAAATTTTTGAAAAAAATCTCATTGAACTCTTTAAAGAACACAAGTGGGAAATCGGCTGTTTTCTAGGAAAAAACTCACAAAAATCAGACGTACACTAACTATGCATTCTATGATACAAATCTTAGAAGATATATTGTAAAAACTTGCTGTCCTTTTTTGTAACTTTTTATTAGCTGTAACAAACTCTGATAAGACTGTGATTTAATTGTATCCAGATATATTTATATGGCCAACCGGTTGACGGATGATGAGCTTCGCGAATCGCTCAAAGAGTATGGGGAGGATGTCGGGCCCATCACACCCACTACACGTTCGACATGGGAGAGGAGACTGAATAATTTTCGTAAATCCAAGGGTTTAAACCGTAAATCCACTCTCAATGCATTCAGTTCTGATGATAGTGAAATTGAGAACTCTACCTCTAGTACCCGCAGGAGCAAGAGAACTTCACTGAACTCTTCATACTCCCCTAGTGCATCATCATTCGATGATAATACCTTTAAAAAGCCCACATCTCCCTCATTCACAGTTCAAGGCCGACATTTAGAAAAACCTAACCATCTTAAAAACCAAAATTTTCTTAGTAAGCTGAATAAGAATGTAGCGAGATCAACATTCGATGTAGAAACGTCAGATTCGGATTTTGATTCCGATTTTTCCCCACTTTTTAAAACCTCTAGACGGACACGTAAGAAATCGAGTAGAAATTCTACGACGACAGATTTTAAAGATGCATCTCCATCACGGAATTCACAGATGCCAGTGAACAGTTTTCGAGGTAAACCTCCTCTTGATTCTACATGGCAGCCTAGTTCGTCTGAAAGTAGATTTCATCATTATAATTCAACTGTAAACAGATTAAAACCAGGTACACATTCTTTAGAAATTTGCTCTTTTTATTTGCTTACATTGTGTTATGAAATTCCTCAGTAAAATCCTAGAATAGCCCACCTCTTTTTGAAATCTCGCCAAGTTGGCAATTATTACTGGGATCAACACTGCTTTTTGATTATTAGAAGAAAAAAATTAATTATTGCAAATTTATTAAAATATTTAATAATCGAACTCATTTAGGGCATTAATACGTTTTTGAAATTGAATTTTGATTCATACGCCATTCAATTATCGCTCTCCATTGCTTTTGGGGGATATTTCCGTATCGTATCTAGATGTTTGCCTGGGGGTGGCTACGAGTTATACCTTTCGAGTTGGTCCCTTTCTATGATGTTTTTTTAAGTACTCGCGGGCCACTGACCGGAAGTTTCTAAGACTTGGCGAATATTCTGCCACAGATCACCATGCTGAAATCTCCCCACCTTTTGCATGCATTAAAGTTAAAAATTCACTAGTCAGTTTGCTCGTCATTTTCAACCAGTACCACACAAAAAAATTTACAAAAGGAAATAATGGTAATAAATGAAATAATGGTTGAAAAATTAAGTATAATGACCATTCTAACAGCAAGAGATCGTAAGCATAAATGGCGAAAAAAATAAACCCTTTTACCTCTTTTCTAACGAAATCCAAATTTCGTAAAAAAACATATCAAATAACCAATCAGGTTTAAAAAATTTTGGTGGTGTGATTGGAAGTTCAAAATAATCTCCCTGAAATATATTCCGGAAACCTAGTTTGGCGAGATTTAAAAAAATCGCCATGGGGTGGGCTATTCTAGAATCCATCCAACTCCTCTACTGAAGCTCCTGTAAAATGGAGTATGAACATTGTAAGGGAAAACTATAATTAGTTGCTAAAAAGATTTTTAATCTATCTTTTACTTTTTTTTTTATTATTTAGCATAAATAAAAGCCATTCTAAAATAAAAAATTTTAAAACAAATTAGTCTTACATTTTTGAAAATATTTTTTTAGAGTTAAAATTTTATTAATCTAAAACTTCCTTATAATCTGGGAGATTACCGTATTGTGATCCATGGCAGAATAATTGCTGTGGTTAAATCCAGATGGTTAACATAAATAATTATGATAGTCCCTTCAATTTCGCGGTAATGAGGTTCGAGTTCGACTGTATTTTAATTTCTACCCCCCCCCAAACAAAAAAACACTGCATGTTGGTTGTAATATTTATTACTCTGTTGCATAGGAGACACCATATTTTTAACTAAAACTCGAGAAATATTTTACTTAAAATAATGATTTTTTTGTTACATTGAATGACTTTAATGGTAACATTATCGAACGGCTGTAATGGCACTGTGATTAAAGCACTGGTCTGTCATTGTGAAAAGCTGGGGTTCGATCCCCAGTGGCGGCTTGAAGCCCCCCCCCCATCTTCAGATCGATGTGTACCAAGACAAGAGTCAGGGAAGTAAATGCGGCCTGTGCACAGTGCTGACCACATTGCCCAAATCACGCTGTTCATCACAAAATTGTGTGGTCTTTATAATTCCTCACCTACTTGGCCCAAAATGGGAATGTTTGACTCTTATTATAGAATGGTTTAAAAAATATTCTTTTATAAAATTTTAACAATCGTATTTTTTCTTTTTTTTGTCAGTAACAATTTAGTATTTTAATTTTTTTTTCTCTTCAACTTGTGTAGATCAAAATTAAAACTCTATAACTATAGAAAACAGTAATTTCATTTTAGACAATTAATGCCAAGTGCCACAGAGAGTAATAATTACTTATATCTTAGATTCCCTGTGGCAGAATTTTCTTGGGATTTCTGCGACAAACTTCTCTAGCACTAATATCTTTCTGCAAGATGCTTTTTATAATAACAAGTACGCATGTTACTAATTGAATTTGAAGTAACAGAAACGTTGCATTCACAATAAAAAACTCTTTTGAATAAAATAAAAATCGTATTTAATTTTTAAATTATTATGTAATGTTTCATTTTCATATTATTCTAATACAATGCCGAGATTCTCCCATTTTGTACGAAGAAAACACACTAATTATTTCCTTATTCGCATTTCGTAAAACATCTCATAAAAAAAAAATTACAAATCTTGTAATCCGTAGCAGTGCCTTTTGAAAACAAGATCGACGACGAAATCACGCTGATCGGACTCTTCAAGAGGGGGGGGGAAATACTAAATGCTTGTTTCGTTTCGAGATCCAGTTGTTGTAATAAATAATATCGTATTTAAAATGTAGGATTTTAAAAACTGTGTGAAATAAATGACCCCCCCCCCAAAAAAAAAACCATAGAATCATTGTTTTAAAAATTAAATATTCATAAGCACGATTGGAATTCCCCATATTGTCAGATATATATCGGGATACTTAAAAATCACGGGAAAATCAATATCATTAAACTGAAAGTGAGAGCGTCAAAAAGAGATTATTTAATAGCGCAATTTAAATTTTACGTGTAGAAATAATATTGACTGAAAAGTAACAGGAATTTTAAAAATCTCATGGAACTCAGTAGCATAGCACATGTAATAAAAAAGCCGAAAAACGGTGAAATCGTCACAGCAAAAGTAAATAATTGATTTCAGTTTCGAGTATAATTAAATTGTATTAAAAACATTGGGATTTGTTTCTTTTGAAAATGTGAAAATAGAGCGTGGATTAACAAGAATATCGGCGCAATATAAGCGTGTCTAAAGAATGATTTCTGGAGGGAAAAAATCGTTCAACATTTCTGCAGAAAAGAATTTTCTTTATTATTCTATATTTTTCACTCTTAAATTAGAATAGAAAAATCAGGAACATTTCCTTCCTCTCTGATGTGCTAAAAAGGTATCTTTTAAGTATAATTTTAGAGAAAAAAAAATTCTGCAGAAAGAAAACCAAAATTCCTTTCTTCCTAACAGAAAATTCTTTCTGCGAGAACTCAGCAACATTCTGCGACAATGTCGCTGTGTCGCCGCGATTCTGCCACGGGGCTTAGATTTATAATAAAATATCATAAATTAAAATGAGTATAAATCACATAAATTAGACCTTATAAGAACTTAAAGAATAAATTCAACTTTTTTTTCCAAGTCCGACATTAAGCTTATTATAAACTAAACTCAGTGGCACGACAGCCCATCACAGTTTTCTTGACCTAGGGCTGTAGGGTGCTGGAGCAGATGTTCCGATTTAGGTGGTCAGCCGAATGCGAAACCCCCAGTGTTTAGTTCCCAAGCATGCTTGGTACTCATTTATCGACCCACTGAAGGGATGAAAGGCTGAGTGAACCTTGCCTGGCCCAAGGATTGAACAAGGGACCTGTGGCACGGGAGTGTGAAGCACTACCACTCAGCCACCGGGCGTCTTAACACATTCGCTGCTACTAAAAAGGATATTTCCATCCTCCGAAGCCGGTTTACAAAACAGGGTTTTAATGGTTTAAATGTTCCTTATATTTTACTAAGAAAACCAGAAAAACAAAGAAACATATTATTTTTCTGTTTAGAGAGCGTTTTTTCCCCCCGACGCTCTAGAGCGTCAGTGACACACAGACCAAACCTGTTTTCGTGAGTGCCACTGACGCTCCAGGGCGTCTTATCAATATTCTCAGAAATTACTGGCATATTGCATAAAATAGCAGTTTAAAAGGAATAAAATGGAATACCATTCAAGTATATGCAGTACCATTTATGAAACAATACTGAAAATATTTACAAATAATAAGCACAATATACAGATATTGGTAGTCACAATCACACACACAAAAAAATTCAAACAAAAGTTTTGAAAACCAACCACAAAAAATAAAAAAATAATGCTTCACTGTGCCGAAACAACCTATCTGTTCCAACTCCCAAAGCCACTCTAAACCCAGAGCATATAACTTATAGTCGGTTGACACGCTAGCGTGACGTCAGCATACCAGGAGGTTTCGCTCTGACGCGTCAGTGGCAGCGAACGTGTTAAGCTTATTATACACTCTTAAATTTTCTGTGTTTGTTTTGTAGATATTTTATTTGATAATAGAACCTAGCTGCTTTCATATATTATTTTATTAATTTTTTTATATGCAGTTTAGTTGAAAAGCATGCGAAGGAGATTTTTTTTTCATGTGTTCTTATTTAATTTTCAGAGAAAAGATTTAAATCAAAATAAAGCAAATAGGTAAAATTTTACCAGCTAAGTTATCAGGACTTGGTCTGAAAACATGCTGCATAGCGTTTTTAAAAAGTGCTTAAAGGTACTTATTTTCGACTTTCATTTTTTAAAAGCCCGTAAAGGTGCTTTTTTCATTGGGTGTTTTTAAAAAATATTTAATTTTCCCTTTTCGAAAATGATATATATATTTTTTTATCATGTCAATTTAGCATTTATTATGCTAAAGTGTTGCTCTCCACATTGTTCTATTCAACGTTTTCACAATCTATTTAGGCATTCTGTCGGTCCATAGCGTATGAAAGCACCAATAATTTTACATGTTAGATGAAATCCTTGAAAGTCCACATGTGCGCCTACTGAGCTCGGGGGTTTGGTGAGATTCTTGCACTCTCATGTGCAACTCCGCTGCATTTTGCAAGATATTCTCAATTTCAGGCTTCATTTTCCACCCTCTGATATCGAACCGAAAAACCTCTTCATCTTTTTACAATGGCTAATATAATCAAGAAAATAGTTCTCAGTCAGAAATTGGTTATTTTATTATGATCATGTAAAATCTTTGGAAATTATTTTGCATTTTATTAATGTATACAGTGCTTAAAAATATTTTTTGAGTGCTTAAAAAGTACTTTATTGGTGCTTATATTTTGTTTAAAGTTTTGACTATGCACCCTGGAAAAGCATCACCTAATTAATTTTATTTTTATGAACCTGAAACTATTAATCACCAGTGCTTCTATTGTGCTATCTTAAATTTTTAAAATGTAATTTTTATTTTTTAGAATCAGAATTTCTGTTTGATAGCAACAATAATAATATCTAAGGAAATCATTGTTCAATATTACATATTTAAAGAAATAAAAGTGCAGAACGTAATTTTCCAATTTTATTTTTTTATTTTGCATTTTGTTTTGATTAATCTGTTTTACAATTTATTTTTAAAACTTAATAATTAGAATATATCTCAATCATGAATTAAGTTCATTCATTCATCATCATCATCATCATAGTTGGCCGTATCATCATGATAGTTGGTTATTGTATTGTTATTACTTATTCAAATCACTTGTGCCATCTAATTCATTCTATTTATTTTTATGTATTTAATATATTATCAGGTTGTTAATGAATTTGTACATTAGAAGACAATTGCAAATACAAGTTAAATCTTAATATCCAATTATTGTCTTTATTTACACCAAGTACTCAGCAAAATCTTTCTCTCAAATTTTGTGATACAATTTTCCTCCAGTTTTGTCATTGTCCAAACTGCAGAAACATATTTCAAGACCGGTGTGACAAGAGTTTTGTAAATTAAAAACTTTGTTTTTCTAGAAAGAAATCTAGATTTAATTAATCTTCTCAGCCCATAAACAGCCCTTTTTGCCAGATAAGTTCATTAATATAGGGCTGATTTTACTTGTTCTGATACTCTAGATACTTTGATATCTGTTCCGTAATCCTCCATCGCAAAGCCCCTTTCATAGTTTGGTAGTTAATATAGGATCTTGCTCTGTAACATATTTGTCTATATTACCTGTAAATTCGGTAAAAGGTAGGAAATTTTTCATTTTTAATCCAAAAATCTTGTAAGGTCAGAGAGTTTGATTTAAAGAAAGCCAAACATACAATGTTTGCATCAGCATTTTCCTCTGAACACTTTTTCTGTGTGAGATCTTCATTTTCTCCATTTGATATTCTTGATTTCATTTAATACTATGATTTGCTCTCTTGATTTAATATGGACTGTTAATATATAAATTTATTTTTTCACGGTTTATTATTATAGAAAATTTTATTCTTAATGAATTTAGTATCTTCCAATATATTTTTGCTGTCTTATTTTCACTTTCCGTTATGTTTATATCTTTAATTTATTATTTTGTTTATTATAAAGATAGCAATATTATTTTTTTCTATCTATGATGCATTTCTATTGTCTGTTTTATATTCCATATTTCTTTGTATTGTGGAGTTTTATGTACTTTAAATTAAAATAAAATATATAATATAATATATAATATAATATATAATATAATATATAAATGGTAAATATTCATTTTTGGTGATTTACAATATTGTTTGTCCATTTCATATTGCAATATTAGACTACAATGACAACTTCACTTTAAAACAAATTTTTATAGTTAGACTATTTGTGACCTGACATAGAGGAAGATCTAAACTTTGATGGGTTGATAATATTGAAAATGATTTTCCCTTTTCTATATATTAAAAATTGTTGAACAATTATATCAAGAAGAAATGCTTTGAGAGCTCTCAAGAAGAAGGCCTTGGTTCATACTGAGTGCAAAGCTATGAATTGCACATTTCCATATTTATTGTAACTTTAAGTTTGTATGAGGATTGAGATGCATATAAATGTCTTTAATTGCTTTACTTTTCAATTGTTGTCATACTCCAAGTAAAACAAGGGTAGAATATGGTACTCAATAATTCATAAAAAAAAAAGTTTCTTTTATAAATTAATTAAATATTTGAATTTTAAGACAGTTATTGAATAAGTTATTGCGTTTTTAAGTTTAAAATATAAGCTCCAAGAATTTAATTTCGATGTTTTTCTTCTTCTTTAGATGATATATTTCTATTTTATTTTCATTGCCTGTATAGTGTTTTGCTATAAAATAATTTTAATGCAGTTATACATTGTTAAAATTTATTTTTATTAATATTTCAACTAAATGGTTTGCTAATTATTAATTAAAGTTCTTGAAGCATCTTTTAAAAGAATTCAATTTAATTTGAAAACAAAAAATTTTTGATTCAAATCGAATAAATATATATTTTTTTTAAAAAATTACAAACTTTACTTAAAATGTTGCTTTTTTTGTAGATCACATAGTAGGTCAAAGCTATCATACCAATGGATACCTTTCGAGCACTCTAACAAATGGTGAATTAAATGAAGAAAGAGTGGAAGAAGGGTCACCCACCAATTACTCTCATTGTATATCCAGTTTATACTAATTATTAAATTTATAATGCTAATTATTAGCTAAAGTTTTTGAAGCATCTCATAAAGAAAATTCAATTTAAAAAAAGTATTTGATTCGAATCAAATAAATATATTTAAAAAAAAAAATTTTTTTTTTTAGAGCTTTACTCAAAATGTTGCGTTTTTTGTAGATCACATAGTAGGTCAAAGCTATCATACCAACGGATATCTTTCGAACACTCTAACAAATGGGGAATTAAATGAAGAAAGAGTGGAAGAAGGATCATCCACCAATTACTCTCATTGTATATCCTGGTTTATACTGTTTGGAGCCGCTACATTTTTCATTGTCATTGGAATACTGTATGTCATGGAGTTGCAAAAGAACACACACTTGGCTGGTAAAAGTAGTATGTCTCTCTCTTTCTTTTTTGTAGATATGAATATTTCTTATTGTGCTTAAATTTAAAGTAATGTTATCAAATTTATTTAAGTACTATTCAGCTTAATTTAAGTACTTGGTCTTTATTTATTTAACTCAATAAACATTTTTTAAAAAAAATAAATAATATATTTATTTTTTTCTAATAACTTTATATTATTTTATTTTGCTTACTAATTCTTTATTTACGTCTTTTTCTGTTGTTTAAGAATTTGTTTACCATCCTTAAAAGGGGTATTCAGTGAAATTTTAGACCCAGCTCAGCGATTGTGTTAGTGTAATCTGATATTCAAAATTATCATGAAAAGCATGACTTGCTAAATCTGACATGTTGTAAGGTACAAACACTGAATATATCCTCAGGCACTGTGAACCCTAGCTATGCCCCTGCTGATAACATATGTAATATTTCATAGAATGTGCAACTACAAATCTTTGATCAATATGTCACAATTAAGACTTTCTATTAATGATAAAAAGTGCATGTTAATGACAGCAGCTATATCTATATATAAATTAAAATATAGAGAAAATAATGACAAGAGAAGAAAATTATTAAAAATGTATTTCAAAAGTATTTAAAAAATTTTTTTTTTTAGTTATCAAATTTTTTTTTTTTAAAAATCGGAAAACAAAACAAAGATAAGATATAATCTCTTCTTCAGCTCACATGATTATATCCACAGAAAGGAGTGCTTTCTAATATTGTATCAATATAGCAAAAGCAAAATATATCAATACAATAGTGTGAGGAGCACTCATAAAATTTGAAACGAAAACAGAACACATTAAGTAAAAAATATATACGATACGAACCATATCAAGCAAAAAACAGAAAATAAAATGTAAAGAAATTGCAGAACAGTACACGAAAGGAAATCTATATAGTGAAAAGTTTATATATATATATACACAGTGATGGTAAAAAAAAATCCCAACACTGAGCAGGAATTTTTCTTGATAAACTAAATTTGGCAAGCTTGTTTATACAACTAAAAGATTATATCTATTCAAATTTTGCTCTTGAAGCAGAAGTTTAGACTAGTAACACCACTGTGAACATGCAAATCAAGGTTGCTTTAAATACCAGTTCTACAGTTCATAAGCTTTATTTTTTATTAAATTTTGAAATGTTGAGTTACTGTTAGTCAAGAATGCCTTTAAGAAGACGAAGAGGTTATTATCAACAGCTCTCTGACTTCGAACGTGGTCATGTAATAGGGCTGAGAGAAAGTGGATTTTCTTTCTGCGACTTTGCAGAGAGACTGGAGAAATGTATCCACTGTGCATGATTGTTGCATACCTGCCACCTCTCCTGTTTTTTTTAATGAAGACTCCTGTATTTTACCACTATCTCCTGTTTACCTGTATATTCTCAAATTTCTCCGTATTTAGTGAATAAATTTTAAAAAAATTAAACGATAAAATATCTGCTAATAACAAAAATACTTCTCTTATTCCTCAACATGCAAATCAAGTAAAATAAAATTTTAATTACAATTTTAGGCAGAAACATACGTTGTATTTTGAAAACGCTTATGCAGGAAATAATAGTCTTACATATTATTATATATGCTTAATTTTTAAAAAAATAGTGGTTGTTAAAAAGATTATAAATTAAGTTTATAAATGCAAGGAATCTATAGAAAGCATTACATTTTACTACCACTTTAAATATAAAAATAAAATTTTACGCCAAATGCGTAAAAGTTAGCAGGTATATCATACCAATGGATACCTT